GGATCTATACATCTAAGAAATCTTTTGAGGGGCTTGAAGCCCTTCTACCTCTCTCAGGTCAACATGTTTGCCCATTGTTATTTGGTCTTGCAGTACTTATGGTATCATGATGACCTTGCCCATTGCTTTCCTGGCAGTTTTATGGAGGATCAAATTCAGTACCTGCAGCAAGCATACTTTGACAGATGCAAACACCGAATCCACAGAAAACATTGAAAGGAAGGATCCATCTGCCTGGACCAACCTCCTTAATTACACTTTATCTTCTCAATTCACTTTTCCTTTTCCTTTTTTTTATGCTAGGGATTGAAATCAGGGCCTCACATATGCTAGGCAAGAGCTCTACCACTTAACCACATCCCCAGCTCATATTTTATTTTAAGACAGGGTCTCCCTCAGTTGCTGAGACTGGCCTTGAACTTGCAATCCTCCTGCCTTAATCTCTGGAGTATCCGGGACTGTGGGCATGTGCCACCGTGCCTGGCTCCCACTCACTCTTACTCCTCTCTCCATTCCTCTTACTAAGGGGAAGCAGTGTCCATTTCAAGAAGGGTGTCAAGCTTAAAATCAGAGGTGCAGGTGAGCAAGCTCATCTCTCAGTGCAAGCATTTCAGATTAGAAGGGAATCAGGGATATCCGTCTTTGGAGAGATCTGAGATGTAGGGTATGGACAACCAACATCCACCCATTTGCAGTATATTGGAGCCCGCATCATCGGGGTCCAAGCACAAGGGTAGTTCAACTGTGGGACCCAAAAAGGTTGGGGGAAGGAGTTCATGAAAATGACATCCACACTGACAAATGCACAGGCAGTTTCTTTCTCACAATTGGACATATTTGTTGCCGAGGAAACCGAGGAGGGGGCAGGCTCTGGGTGTGCAGGTTACCTGAGCTGGAGCAAAGCAGCCATAGGACTGAAGGTGGGGAAAACTCTGATAGTTAGCTGCAGCCCTCGTTCATTCATGACAAAGCAGGAAAATTGCAGGGGAGGAGAAAAGCAAGCCATACTAGCCCCCTTCCCATATCCTCTCCCCTGCAATATCCACCTATAGGAGGATGAGGAGGGGACCCTGGCTATTCTCACACCAGGTTTCCTCCATCCATCAAAGCGGCACATTGTTTACTAGGGAACAAGCATTTCAGCTTGCAAATGCCCCTGTTTCAGTATTTCCAATACTGTTGGAAATTCTCCAACAGTAACTTGGAATACCATCACTTAAAACACTGAATTCTTATCATCTAGATTCAAGTACTTACTGAGTAACTGTCACACTTCTGGTACTGTTTGGCACTTAGGATACAAATTGAATTAAAGCACTGTCTCAATCTTAAGGAGATCATAAGCTGTCACTGAACTATCCATATTCATTCTGTGAAGTGTAATTCACTGAGTATCTTCTATGTGTTAGACATGGGGGACTGAGACTCTCTAGGCAGTCACCTGGACCTAGTGATGTTTCTAAAATTGAATCGTTGGTTCCCATAATGTGTGAATTTCTTAGTGTGGTGACCAAGATGCCTCCAGAGGGGGCCTGGCCTTCCTCTCCAGGCTGCCTCCTCACAAGTCCCATTGGCTTACTTTTAAAGTCTCTAAAATGTGTCATGAGCTCTCACTTCTCTTTGTCTTTTCAAAAGCCCTTCCCTTTCTGGTTTAACTTTAGGAAGTTCATCGTGGTAGCAATATGGAGTAGGTACCGCAGTGGGGTGCATGTCAGGTAGGAGTTATTATTCACTTAGTAAGAAATGATGAAGTTCTAAAACTTAGGCATTTGTGGAGGACAGAAGGGAGGAGCTACTGAGAGAAAGATTTAGAAAGTTGCCTGGACAGACATGAGTGATCCTATCTGAGGATCAAGGAGGAGAGTGGGAAGTCTTACTCTCAACCTGGGCAACTTGGTAAGGACAGCCTTTTGCCAGACAGGGATTCCCCAATGGTGGGGTATAATGGTGATGGGAATGTGGTGGAGGGAATGAGGACAGTGGAGGTTAGATTTGTTTAAGTGGAGACATTCCACATACATGTTGTATGGATAGGTCTGGGACTGACCCCAAGGACAGGTCTCAGGAGACAGATCTGGGCTGGACATGTAGATTTTTTCATCAGCATGTAAATGGTAGTCAGTCAGGTTAGTCAAGGAAAGAGTACAGAGCGAGAAGAACAGAGATGTGAAGATAGACCTTCGAAAACCTGAACACCAACAGGTCAGAAAGAAAGATGGGTTCTGCCCAACATGGAGAAGGAACAGCTGGGAAGCAAAGGAAAAAAACAAAAAACAGGAGAGAGACACAGGAGGGGAGCAGAGGAAGATGGTTCAAGAGAAGAGAAGAAATGCTCAAGAGTCCGCTTTGAAAAGAACAACAAAGGGCAGGTTTAGTGATTGGACTACTGCCCATCTTAGCGAGTCAGAAAGTGGATGTGGGAACTGTTCTAGCAGAGAAGAGAGTGGGAGAGGAGACTTCTGTGAGCCTGGACCAAAGCTGAGCGGGGAATGAGGCTGTGGGGCTGGCCACCAGATCCTGATGGGCTTCCATGCCCCGCCTGGCATGGGCTTTGTGCTGTAGTCAACAGGGAACAAATACACAGACCAACTCATTATTTTTCTTTTTCTATAAGTCATTTGTAAAAATGGAGGTAAAATTGACATAGAATGAAATGTCTGGATCTCAAGGGTTCAATTCAAGGGGTTTCGGCAAATGTGAAACTGTGTAACCAACACATGACGAGGTTGAAGTACTTCTTCCCTCCAGCCTGGTTCTCATGACTTTCCATGACTAGAGCAGCTGCTCTTCTCATTCCTATCCCACAGATTACTTTTCTCTTCTTACATTTCATGTAAATTAGACTGTGAGGATATAAACTTTTCCAGGCTTCTTTTGATCAGCAGAATGTTTTGGGGATTTATTCATATTTGTTGAGTGAATTAGCAACTCGTTCTTTTTTACTGAAAGAGCATTATTATATAAAGTACAATTTGCTTAATCATTTTTCTACTGATGGACATTTAATTTGTTATAAGTTTTTGGCTATAATGTTGCCAAAGCATTCTTCCGCAAGACTTGTTGGCATATGTTTTCATTTAGCAAATAGCAAGGAGTGCAAATATATTATAAGGTAGGTATATTTCAATTTTGTAAGAAACAGTTTTCCAAAGCAATCGTGTCATTTATGAGCACCATTAATGTGACAGAGTTCCAGTTATTTCACATTCTTGGTTTTTGTCACATCATGCATTCAGTCTTTCAAAATTTGAGCCATTCTCAGGAGCGTGAAGTGTGTCTCATGGTGGGTTTAATTTGCATTTCTCTGGTGACTAAAGATTCTGAACACCTTTGCAAACCCTTATCATTTGCATTACTTCATTTGTTAAGTATCTGCTCAAAACTTTTTCCCATTTATGTTTGATATATGTATATGTTGAGGGAAATGATAATTGGCATATTAGATGTTGGAAGCAATTGGTATTGTAGCCAGAATTAGACAGGCAGTCGGTATAGATAGGTAAATTGAGTCAGGTCGGATCAAGGAGGTCAATTTTGAGTGAGTCTGGGAAGTTGGAGGCTGTCCCCTGAGGCACTGAAATGTTAGTTCCTTCGGAGCCCTTCCTCCACCCTTATCAAGAACCTGCCCCTGCTCCAACCTGTTACCAAGGTAACCAGTGTGTGTGTGTGTGTGTGTGGGGGGGGGGGGGGAATTGCCCCTCCCTACCAAGTTGTTAATGTGTCCTTGACTACTCTTTACTGCCCTTCCTCCTTCAGCCCACCTGGTTCCCACCTTTGGGCCATCCCACCAAGCGTTCCTCAGCCTAGTCTTGGGCCTAGTCACTTAGGCAGGAAGGAGAAAGACTAGGGGGAAAAGGCAGGAGAACAAAGGAAATCTAGGACATATAAAAGGGCAGAATACCTCGCTTCTTGGGATATCAGGATACCAGCTACGGCCCCCTTCTCCTTCACAGGAGAAGTCTATGTTACTCCTTTTTAAATAAACCCTGCTTTATATGCTTGCCTCCGTATGCTTCTGTACTGTTCAGACTTCAACATGTGAGGAAGCAGGACTCATCACCGATAACAGGCAGCATCAGTATTTGCTAACATTCTAAGTGGGTTTAAAATAGAACCATTTATGCATTCTGTCAACGGGAAAATTGGATAACTGAAATATGGAAATAGTCTTTCATATGTAAAGTCAGATGACTTTTAATCTTATCCATTATGTTTATCCTATATCAAGCTCTTTGACGGTTTGATCAGTCTATACACTAAAGGGCAGATCTTTATGGTTAGAAGACAAAGAAAACCCATGTCATAGATCCAGTTAATTCCAGGGTTGAAACAGGAACCAGACCAACAAAGTGCACGGCAGAGGTGAGGTTTTCTATTTCCATATTTAGTAGTAGATGTTGTCATAAGTACAGAACAGACACTTGAGTGGGCTGTTTTTGAGTTGTACAGTGGAGTGAGCACTTGCACTGTAAGGGAAGTTCTGTTCTGGAGTGTGGGCACTGGGCTGCAAGGGCCGGTGTGGGCATCTTCTCTCTACCTGTATTCCAGCACATACGCATAGCACGACTCACCCCACCTTGATGCTAAATCATCCTTGTTTCTTGTGTTTTCCTTATCTATTTTTAACGCCGATGTCCAGAATACATTTCTGATATGTGTCAGTGTCTTTGTGGGAGGTTCCCTGCATGCACCATTTTGAAAGTAGGCTCTGAGGTGACAGCAAAGTCCACCTTCCGTGTCACCTTCTGGCCTGTGCTCACAGGCATGCCTGACTGATTTAGGGCCCAGGAAGCCAAAATCCAATCACAATGCGATGCAGCTGGAGCATACACTACATTAACGTTTAACGAGGGTCTCCTTTCTCTTTCAAAACAGTAAGGCACAGGGGCAACAGGGCTGGACAGTGCTGGTGAAGGCCTAGCGGGAATACTACACCTGTGCACGCGCACGTCCCGGCGGCCCGGCCGGTGCGCGCGCACGCCCTCGCGCACGCCCTCTGCTTCCTCCCGGCGCCTGGTGTTGGCAACGCGCGCGGCAGATGGACGGGGTGCTCGCGGAAGTGCTGCTCGAGCAGAGCCGGGACCCCCGGGCCCTGTTCGGGACGCTGTGCCGAGGGGAGGCGTCCGCGGAGCGCGTAGAGACGCTGCGCTTCCTTCTGCAGCGGCTGGAGGACGCGGGCACGGACCTGGGCGCGCTCCCGGAGGCGGCGCGCGAGGTCGCCACGGGGTACCTAGTGCCGCTGCTGCGCGGGCGCCCGGGCGGTGCCGACCCCGACCCCGGCCCCGGCCCGCCGAGCCAACGCCGGCGCGTGCTTCGGGCGGCGGGCGCGGCGCTGCGCTCGTGCGCCCGGCTCGCGAGGGGCCCGCCGCTGGCCGCCGCGCTGGCTGAGGAGGCGCTGCGGGACCTGCGGGCCGGGCGGTGCGCGCCGGGCGTCGAGGCTGCCGTGGAGGTGCTGGCGGCCGTCGGGCCCTGCCTGCGGCCCCGCGAGGACGGACCGCTGCTGGAGCGCGTGGCGCAGGCCGCCGTCGCCCTGGCGCTGGGCGCGGACGGGCCCGGGAGCGCCGTGGATGCGGTGACGCTGGCGGCTGCGCGGCTGCTGCCGGCGCTGGGTCAGTGCGGCGGAGCGGCGTTGCGGGCCGTGTGGGGTGCGCTGGCGGAGCCGAGCGTCCCCTGGGGACCGGACCGCGTCGGGCCGGAGCTGCAGGTGCTGAGTACCCTGGCCGAGAAGCTGCTGCCCCAGCCCGGCGCGCGCGACGTGGGCCCCGACGCGCGGCTCTGCGGGCGCTTCTGGAGGACGGTGCAGACGGGGCTTGGCCGCGCGGAGGACGCCCTGACGCGCAAGCGCGCGCGCTACCTGCTGCAGAGGGCCGTGGAGGTGTCATCGGAGCTGGGCGCAGACTGTACCTGCGACGCCAACGGTGGAACAGGTACTCGCTCCGTGGCCCAGCCCGACCCCGCTAGCTTCCGCAAGCCGTGCAGAATTCGGCCATTCCACTTGGCACCCTAGAGCCTGGCAGCCTTGGGACCCTCTTCTCAGAGGCTGTTCTGCGAAGTGACACAAATCGCTGAATCGGGAGCAGTTGGACCCCAGCAAGGTGGAATGCGGCGCCCTTTGAGTAATTGGGAAAGTGGCTGAACCCATGCAGGATTCTACAGACCCAAGTGGGCACTGTGTTGTGGTGGGACTTTCCACACTGAAAGATGTACCTGTGCTCAGGGAATGAAAGGAGGCGTGTGTGTTAGAATCAACATCATTCTTTGGAAAGGTCCCTGGGTAATTCTCAGAAGCAGGATTTACTGATATTTGCTGAACATGTTTCTTAAGTTAGCTTTTTAAGGGTATTTTTAAAAACATCTTGAGCCCTTACTTCTCGGTTACTGAACAAGTGGAGATGCGCTAGCATGGCCCGCCTTCTTTGGGTTGGTAACTGTTGATTGGTTTATCCAGTCGTCTCAAGTTCGTTTCTGAACTAAGTCAAAAACAGATTGACTCTGAATTGTCTTAATAGAAACTTGTTTTTCCAACTGTAGTTACTACTCATTTATTGCAACAAAGAATTTTTGTTTGGCTAAAGTTGTGAAATTAGACTTTCATATAATTTTAAAGCATTTTAAATATTTGAGCAATCTACAGATGGGTGCTCAACCCCTAAGAGTTTTCACTGGAAGACTTTTTTTAAAAAAAGTTACCAAAGTGAAACTCATTTATTGTAAGGGGTTTTAAGAATATACTCCACTTTCTCAGTTTCAGAAAGAAAACACCGTTATCTCTTTATACTGTGACTTGAGATAACATTTCTTAGATTGTAAAATCCATGGTGAAGCTCTTGGTTAAATGGGTGCTGTACATTAACACAGTAGTGGGTGCTGTTCACAGGTGATCAGTGTAATACATTGTAGTCATGCTTTGAGGAAACTGAATCATGCTTCCATTCCTGCAAGTTTCTCTTATAATTGTCATTTAAAAATGTGTTTGGTTCTCTCCACACCAATCCTGATTCAGCCCTGAGTTCTCAGCCTGGTGTCTAGATCTTTCCAGAGCCAGACCTCAAGGCCTTTTGTGTTTCCCTGAGGAGCTGCCCTAGAGTCTTCCACTTGCTGATACTGAATTTCTCCCTGTGCCTGGGGACAGCTGGCTGCTTAGTTCTGTCTCCACCATCCTGCAGGTCCCTTCCCTGAGTCCTGTGTTGGTGCTTCTGCTTCCTGTACTTAGTATCTCACTCACTGTCATGGTACATTCTGTAGTTTTCTGAGATGAAATCTTTAAAGATGACAGTCTGATAATTCCATCAAAAGATCCTTTATGGCTGATAACATTTTTTTAAAAATATTTTTTAGTTGTCAGTGGACTTTATTTATTTATATGTGGTGCTGAGAATTGAACCCAGTACCTCACACGTGCTAGGCAATCACTCTACCACTGAACCACAGCCCCAGCCCAGCTGATAACATTTTTATTTCTAGTATTTACATTTTAACTTTTTTTTTTTTTTTTTTTTACGTTTTTGTGCAGTCCTGGGGATTGAACCCAGGGGTTCTACATCCTTGGTCCTTTATATTTTTTATTTTTTGAGACAGGGTCTTACTCAGTTGCTGAGGGTAGCATCAAACTTGTGATCTTCCTGCCTCAGCCTCCCAAGTGTCTGGAATCACAGCTCCACTTGAGCTTAAAGACCCTCGTCTCTTGTCTGCGTAAGCATATTGGTCACCTTTCCAATTAGATTCTTTAACGTGTAGTGATTTGCCAGTCTGACACCTGGACAGCTGAGTTTGGTTCTGCTTGTTTAACCTTTAGGGCATGGAGTCACTTCTCTGTGTTATGGATCAGTAGAGCTTATGCCAGTGTCTGTTGAAAGATGGGTATACCCCCGCTTCCCTTAGGCCCTATGTGTGGCCGAAGCCACCCTGTTTGGTTTTGTTCTTGCCTTGGGGCAGTGGTTGTGGCCACCTTGTGCTTGGTGTGGATCCTGGAGGGCTCAACGGCTTTCCACAGCCATGTGCCTGTGCCATAGACAGGGGTCTTTTGAGGCCCCCAGGGTTACCCATGTTTGTTGCTGGATGACCGGTTTGAGGTGGGGCAGCCTTTCTGTTTCTTCTTCTCTAGCCTTATCTTAGACCCTGTGTGCTTCAGCCTTGGGGTTCCAGCTCCTCTGCTCTCTCTGTCCCCTCTTCAGTGGCAAATAACCGCCTCCCACCTGGCGAAGGCTTAGAATTTCTGTGCCCTCTCTTGTGCAAGCTGCATTTTGCATGGGTCTCTGGGAGGCCTTGGGCACCAGTGTTCTGCCCTTCCATGCAGCGCAGCCTGGTCCCTGTCAGGTGACCAGAAGGAGCAGGACCTTCCCTGGTCTCAGTGCAGGCTCAGGCTGCAGGTCTTCTTCCCAGAGGCTGCCACTCTTTTTGGCATCAGGGCAGGGCAAGGGTGCAGGCATGGGAGGGCTTGCGGCCCCAAATCTGGGTGGCTGTCGGGCCTTGGCGTTGCTCACCAGCAGTGCCTCTGTAGTGCATGCAGGACTCTGTGGTGAGTCCCTCTGCCCCTCAGACTAAGGCAGGCCTGCATACCCACTCTTCAGAGATCACTGCCCTACCAGGGTCCTTCTCAGAGCACCTGGGGAGGCGGGGTCAGCAGGGGAGTGGGTATGAACTCCTGGGGATTCCCAGGGCTTCCAAGCTGTTTTTCTGTTCTTGGAGAGTCTTTTGGAATTCCCCTGGTGGTCCCCCTAGAAGTTTAGGATTTTGTAGCTTATCCAGCCTTTTCTCTCCATGGCATTGCTGTTTTCTTGTGTCTGTCTCCGTTTTGTACAGAAGTGGAGACCATACTTGTCTAAATGCCTTCGTTTTGTCCTCACATATGATTGATGGCCCCATGAGGGCAGAATTCTATTTTAAAGATGCAGACCTACAGGATCCTGGATCCTATGTGGGAGGTCAGGTGCTGGGCCCGGCTTGGCCACAGGTCTGCTTTCATGCTGGTGCTGGCTCCTGGGTCCCTGCCCAGTGTTTCTGTTGTTGAGTTCCTCCTGCTGTTTTCTGCCCTCGGCACCTCCTGGACTGACTGGTCTACCAACATCTCTTCTCTCCCAGGGTTTTCTGTGTCTTTACTCCCTGGGTGATTTCTTTCATGTCCAGCCCTTTCTTGTTTTTGCTATCAAGTTTAGTTCTCATGAGATCTGTTTGTTGTTTGTTGGAATGTCCCTTTTAAAGCATCCTGTTCCCAAGTCTGTGAGCAAATCCTGGATATGGGATCCTCTTCAACCTAGCTGCTCACCTGTACCTGGAGAAGCTCCTGCCGCTGTCAAGTCCTTTGATGGCGGATCGTGCAGTGCAGATCCAGTTGTTGCTTGTTTCCCTGAGACTACTTGAAATTCTCTTTTCTCCAGTTTGATTTTCAAATTCTAAATTTTATTGCTATTTTCCTTCTCATTTTTTTTTTTTTTAAATTCTTCTGGGAAGTTGGCCTTTGAAAAATCTTTCCTGTTACAGTGAGGGTCTTGGGGAGGGGAGTTGAGTTTATATGTGCAGATCTGTCATTCTTACCTTAATGAACAGAAGACAGCATCACACTTCTCCTTTTGAGATTCCCAAATTTCCTATCCAGGTTTAGGTGCAGGGACACCCTCTGTTATTAGAGAGTACATTTGGTAATAATTGCATTAGTGTAAGAATTACTGTTAGATTTGCAAAAGAAAGAACTAATTTTTTTTTTTTAACTGTATTAGGCCCAAGTCTGTTTTGGTGGTCTGAGAAGAAAAAAGATGAGCTTCTAAAATTTTGGGAAAATTATATTTTAATCATGGAAACTCTAGAAGGAAATCAGGTAAGTGTTCTCATATTTTTGCAAATCCCATAGTACACATGACTTTCTTTTTTTCAAACAATAAAAGCAGGGAAGAAAGACTGACTTAGAGGTAGCATGATAGAAGCTAGGTGTCCTTTGTTTTCTGGCACAAATGCAATTTACAAGAGCATGTAAATTGTTTCAGGAAAGTGAATAATACTTTCAGTTGACTCATATTACCATCTTTGACTTCCCTTGACATTCTCAAACTTCAACATCGACATCACCTAGAGGGCTTGTTATAAAATATGAACTGCTGCCCCAGCTCTAGACCTTCTGATTCAGTAGGTCTGAGATAGCTACCAAGTGGTGTGTCTGCCGCTGTTCCCTGGTGTGTAAGTCCCAGTCTGTAAGTTGCATCCCAAGGGGCCAGCTTTCTTGCAGAGTCCCTGTGAGATGTCAGTCCACCTGTGCACCAAGCATTGTTTGTGGATCAAAGTGGAGAATGACTCGGGTGCTGAAGAGAGCTGGACATCCAGGGTGAGAAGCATTTCTGAGTCAAGTAAAATTGTGGGGTTTCTTTGGTCTGTAGGTCTGTAAAATCTCCATTACTTATTTTAGAAACTCAGAATTGCACATACTTTGAAGGACATATAAGTCAAATCTAGCAAAGGAGCCAGCAGCATGGCCCCAGGCAGGAGGAACACTGAGCTGGGAAGTGGTTGCACTTTCTGAGGCTGACCTAGCACAACCTGAGTTACTGGAGAAAGCTTCAGTACCTCTCTTTCAACCTCTGGGTCCACCCCTCCCTTCTTCCAGCCAGTCAGGACACCATCACATGGGCTGCTGCCTGTGAGTGTGGGCACCACTGTAACTGGGCTCTGGGCTGCACGGGTTGGCTCTGCCACCTCAGGCCAGGGGACTGGAGTCGTGCCATGGTCCAGAGGTGGAGGGATCAGGCCCTCAAGGCCAGTTTCACCAGGGTAAAGTCACAAGGTCTGCTGTCAACGAATAGACGCCTGAGTCTTTAAAGGTATTTCCATTTCATGTGATTCTTTGCTCTTATTTTTAGATACATGTTATAAAGCCAGTCTTACCAAAGCTAAACAATCTGTTTGAATATGCAGTGTCAGAGGAAAATGGTAATGATCACTTTCTTTTTGCTTTTTTGTTAACTAATATTTCTAGTCCCCCTGCACCGCCTGATTTTATACTAATCCCTATTTATTGTAAAAAATTGGGGAAAATTACTACAGTATAAGGAAGAAAACATGAATCATCTGTAGTGTTGCCGCCGAGTGATGGCAGCTGATGACAGGCAGATAAGACCTGGGTCCCCTTGTCTGTAGGCTCATCACACTCAGTAGTGTCTGTGCCACTGTTGACCATCTCCTTAAATAGCTTTAAGTGGTGGCAGGGTTTTCTGTAGTTCAGAGCTAGGATTAATTTGGTTTTTAACTTTTGGTCATAAAAAATTCCATGCATGTCTAGAAGGGAAAGAGCTGTGGGATGAAGCCCTTCCCACTACTGCGGACGTGTGTCCTGTGCCTCAGCCAGGTGCTATAGGTCCTGGTGTCCACAGGCATTTCACAGTAGGTCCTTAAAAGACAGATGCTTCTTAGTGCTTAAAGATGGTGTGTGTTATGTGTTAACAAGAGCTCTTTGATAGGAATATACACCCTGACTTATTTCCATTTTGGGGTTTTTGTTTTTTTCTTTTTTTTGTGGAGGTGCTGGGGATTGAACCCAGGGCCTTGTGCATGCTAGGCAAGCACTCTACCAACCAAGCTATATCCCCAAGCCCCTCCATTTTTATTCTCAATATATCTATTTTATATATATATATATATATATATATATATATATATATATATATATGTTAGAGCATTGGGGTTCTATTATAGTCATGTATTGTAGCCTTCTTAGGAAGAGAAAATTCTAGAATATAAGTGTAAACATGTTTTTTAAGCCTTTGATCACCGCTGCATTAGGAGAACTTTCTAGGAGAAATACGGTGAAACTGAGCTTCTGAAAATTATTTTGTGAAATTGAGTTTAGATCAATGAAACAGCTAAATTCAGGCCAACAGTGTTTTATATTCATAAGAATGATAAAATGCTGCATTATTGTGTTTACACATGAGGATTAACCTGGGTAAATGGGTTTTAGCGCCTGCTCTAGATAATTATGAATTTAATAGTTTGACCCCTGAGGAATTGAGCTTTTCTCCGCTGATTGCTGTAGCAGTTTCCTGAGACGCTGGGATTTTTCACAGACCGTAAGCATCCATGTCCCCACCTGAGGCTAGCATTTAATTGGATCCTGTTGTGGCTGCACTCATGCACTTACTATTAAAATGATGCTCTTATTACCACATTTTGCCCACAGCTCTTGGCAAACCAAATCAAATAACAGTGACTGAGTTTGGAAAATTACCACCGCCAGAGTTGAACAAGCATGTTGATGTAAACTACAAATAATGACCAATTTATTTATAGAATGTCATGAATTAAAAATCCCGGGTATTTTTTCCTACTAGAATTAAAGGAAATTTCATGAGTCATAAAAATCTCTCTAAGGTACACAGTTCTTCCGTCTTTCATTTGCTCACTCAATTACATTTTCACTTAATAGATATTACTTAGCATGCAATTCATGTTAAGCACAGGGGACAGAGGGTAGGAGAGGTGTAGGTGTCTTTTCATTTGAGTTTTGTCTTCTAAGGAAAATAAGGTTTGATTTTAGGTCCTTTGGAGCGAGCAGGGAGGGCTAAGGTGGAGTGTAGGGTGCAGGGTGTTCAGCAGAGGCCTCTGCTGGGGGTGCCGTCCAAGCGCCCACAGGGAGACAGCACGAGCCCCTGGAACTGTGGCTGGTCAGTCCGTGGCTCGTCCAGCCTCCTGGGAGCAGTGGGAAGCCTCCAGGGTTTAAGTAGAGGAGTGATGGTTTCAAATTCCAGTGGTCATAGAGCTGGTTGAAAGCACCCCAGATCTGAAGCTCCCCCATGCCCGCATGGGGTGATATTATTTTTGTATACTGAAGCATGTTTCACATTTGTTTGTAGTCCTTTAAGTGAACACAGAATTCTGAACACCAACATTATTTTGGTTATTTAGCAGACGCCCTTGGATGTGGTAATAGTAAAGCGACGTGTCTGTGCACATATCTGTGTGTGGACAGAGCCCAGTGTCAGCATTAAACGTTTATCTCCACAGGCTGCTGGCTCTTTCACCCCTCCTGGCACATGTGTGTTTATAAAAGAATGTTTGAAAGTGAGAATAAAATCCTGACCAAAGAAGGTGTTCTCCACTTTCTGGAGCTGTATGAATCTGAGTGTCTTCCATTTTCACCAGACTTTTCTGAGGTAACACACCTTCTCCCTCCTCTCTGCCTTGCCAGGAGAGGGACACGCACTTGTCGTGTCACCATGGTCTCAGGAAAGCGCTTGGGACTCCATCAGTGACCTCCAGTTACAGAGTGCACACAGCAAACCCTGTTTCTCTGAACGTCCCTACCCTGCTTGGGAACAGCTGTGTCGTCTGTTGACACATTGACTGGGGGCTGCCTGCAATGTGGCCCTTGTGAGAAAGTAGTCCTCTGCCATCGTTCTTCAGACTCCACTGGTCCAGAGTGTGAGAGTTGATGTTGACGCTTTTGTGCGACAGTGTCCCCAGCTGTGTTGCTGCCCTGTTTTATACAGAGCTGGCCTCCTGGCTTCACTCCTTAGAGTCTGTCCTCGGACTGTTAGGAGCCACACAGTGGAGCATGGCATAATCCCTGTGACTCAAGATCCTGCCTTGGGGCACGTAAGCCCCTTTGATTGACAGGTGGCCTGAGTCATTTCTTCCGATCACCTGGGTGTGTGCTCTGTTGTTGGACATGCATCCTTTTTCTGTGTCTCCTTCCCCATTCACATGAGCTTGCTTTTTTTTTTTTTTACTAGTGTCAAGTAGGATTTGGGGATGTGAATCTCCCCACTGAGCATGGGGCTCAGTCCTCCCTGAGTGTCTCTGTTTTTCTTGTTACTGTCTTTGTTTCCCAGGTGTCTCTTCTTTCTGACCCACAGTGTGAACTCTCTAGTGTGCTGTAGGATTTTATCGGGTGGGAAAATTCTGTCCTTATTTTGTCATTCTGGTAGAATTAGGGTACCCCCAGGACCCTCTTGAGTTCACTAATGCATGAGAGTCCCTTTGCTGACCACAGTTCTTCTGCCTCCCCGTGGGCCCCAAGGGGGGGGGGTGTCACCTTCCACACATGCAGTTACAACTTCACTGCCTACCTCTCTCTCTTTTTCAGTTTATTATTGGACCATTAATGGATGCCCTTTCAGAGAGCTCTCTCTATGGCAGGTAAGCATTCTGTCACCTAGAAGTAATGCAGAACGATGTATTGACATATAAGTTTGACATTATGAAGCATGACCAGATTGTTTAACCTGTTTGATGTGTAACCTGTGTTGCCTTATGGAAAATCAGCATTTTTCTCCTAAATCTTGTAGTACTGTATTTGTGATTCTTCTAGCCTTCTATTATTTACATCACATGTTCCTTCTTGCTTGTTCCTTTTACTGTGAACTCTTCCATTCCTGGGCTTTTGAGAGCCATATTTTATATAGCTCACTCTCTTTCCCTGCTCCTGCTTTCTGCCGCTCTGAAAATTGTGGTGACTTTGGCCAATTAACACTTTGAACCTTGGTTTTTTTTTTTCTTTTAACTTTTTCTTTTCCCATAAGTTTCATGCCAGTAGAAAAGTTCTGGGAATTATATTATCTTCATCCTTGTTCTCCAGATGTTAATGTTCCACCATGTTTGCTCAATTGTTAACCTCTTCCTGTGTGTGTGTGTGTGTGTGTGCAGCTTTTTCTTTGTCTGTTTGCTGACCAGAGTTAGCCATCTAGATTTGTTTCATTAGCTGTCCATCCATTCATCCACCCATCCATCCATCTATCTGCCCATTCATCCACCTGTCTATACATCCATTCATCTGCCCATCCATCATTCATCCATTCATCCATCCACCTGTCCATCCATCTGCCCATTCATCCATCTGTCATCTGTTCACCCATCCATCCATTTATCCTCCTGTCCATTCATCCATTTGCCCATCCATCCATTCATCTACCTGTTTATCTATCTGTCTATCTATCCATCCACCTGTCCATCCATCTATCTGTCCATCCTAAGAACCATGGATTCATCCCAGTATATCCAATTTCAGTCCAGTACTGGAGGGTCACTTCTGACCTTTTTCCTTTCCATGTTTGACAGTGACTGTCACATTTCATAAGATGTCCACTTATTTGCCACTTCTACCTTTTGAGAAAGTTAGCTGTGAGTAGTATTGGTCAGGGTTGTGCCTTGGCCTTGTTTTTTGAAGAATTATCTGTTCTCCTAAATTACATCTTAAAATGCCCTGCTTTTGAATTGTGTTGTCTTTCTAATGTCAACTAAATTTAAAGCTCAAGTGTTCTGTTCAGTATGCTGCTACACAGAAAATCCCCATGCCAGTTTCTTTAAAAGTCTCTGGTGTCAGTGCCATGTTATGCTGATTCTCAATGTCTGTGTATAAGTATTAAGGGAGCATGGCAGTGTTTGATGTGCTGGAGAGCTTCAGTCTTTGCCCGAGTCTTTGCTGTGGGTCATGCTCTGAGCTGAGTGCAGCTGAGGAGCAGGAAGGTCAGTGAGGGAGTCTCAGTGCTGCCAGGAGTGGACACAGCTCTTCCCAGCGCTGCAGGGTCCAGTTAGCAGACAGTGCTCCTGGCTGAAGCACGGAGCCACTCTAGCAGACGTCATTTATTACTGAAGTCTGTCTTTGCTATGAATGTTCTTTTATTTCAGGCCTAAAAATTATAGTCATTGAATTCTATGTTGGAAGCAATAAAATAGAGTTTACATTTGCCATTTTAGGCTGCTGCTTTTCAAGGGGCTGTTTAGCTAGATGCATAGGGACCAAGTGGAGGCTGTCGTGGCGGGTCCTGCCTCCCCAGCGGGGTGTGACATCTGCCCACCTTCCCACGAGCCCTGTCGTCTCTGTAACCAGAAACAGCCTCAGAATTTTGCTGAAGAATACAGGGCAGGTTCAGAAAAAGCAGGTTTTCTTTAGTGTAGAAAGACTAGTTTGTGTAGAAAGACTCTGGGGCCGAAGTCTGTGTAGACTGGATTGCATATACTCACTTGTAAGTGGATTTAAATATGTTTTTTTCTCCCTTCTTTGTCTGTAGGTCCCCAGGCCAGCTGGTAGGAAGTGGTTCTCCATTGGGATTAAAGTTACAGAAGTTTTTAGTCACTTATGTTTCTCTTCTTCCAGAAGAAATAAAGAGTATGTGTCAGAAAAGAGGTTTTTCAACTTTCAAACACTTTACCTGTTTCTTGATATTATCAGCTTGCTGGTGTGAGCACTGCCATGTTACCTGTCATTGGTGCTCTCTAGGACGAGCCACGGGTCACGGTCACCCAGGATCTGTCTAAGCCAGCAGGTGCTCTGCCTTGGCAGATATGGCACTGGGGTGCTGGGATGATCAGCCTTTGAGAGATGGGGGTGCTGTGCTTGGTGGTCTTCTGTGACCTTCCGCTCTTCAGTTCAAGATTAGTGAACTGTATGGAACAAAGACAGGCCCTGGTTGTAAGGAACACTTATGAACAGAATATCCATTGTGTCCGTTGTCCTGCAGTAGACACTGGCTTAGAAAGATAAGAAAGAATACATGTGTTTTACAGGAGACCTGTGTCCTAGAAGCCACCCTCCACTCAGATTGGAGGTTTGCTCTTCTTTCCAAGGAAGTGAGCGGTAGCAGGCGCAGGTACCGTGGGCGTCCCTGATGGAGCAGCCGGATGCTGTGCTTTCAGGTCCTTCCTTCAGTCCTGCTCCGTGAGCTAGAAGGTGACCCAGGCTGTGGGATCCTTATTTGTCCTTTGTAGTTAATCTGCAAGCCAGGTGACCAGATGACCAATGATATTCTCAGTTCAAAACTCAGGAGAAAGGGAAACACGGTCTGTTTCGGTCATTATTAGAAGTTTACAGAAAGTCAGTGGTTTCGCTTGCTTTTTTAAAACAGATGGAGAATTCAGTTTGGAGCCCTGCTTTAGTTGTAGTGTCTGGCCTCCAGCCACCCGCATGGGCCACACCCCAGTGCCACCAGGGGGGGTCAGGGTGCCTGGCATTTATGGCTCAGCTGGGCTTGGTAAGTCCATGGGATGAGCATGAGGCACCTCACTGTCTCCTGGCGTCGTGAGTGAGGGTTGGCCATACCCTGAGGTTTCATGAACTTGGTCAGTGTGCCCACAAGAGAGTTGAAATCTTTGGTCACGGTTCTTGGTGATTTTTTTTTTTTTTTTTTTGCAGTCACAGTTTCTGTGAATATATCTAGTTTTGTGTTGGTTACTTTAGAAGATATGAAATACATATAACCCCTATGGGCAATTCCGAGCTTTCTTAAAGTCCTTCTGCAGTGCTGATCTGAGAAAATGATGACTGTCACTAAGTGCATGGCCCTAGGGCCTTGGCTGACCCCCCTCAGTCCAGAGGAGAAGGAAGGAAAGCACCATCCCTGAGTCTTGGGAGAGAAGTGTCGGAGTCCAGGGAAGCAGAACAGGTCCACGAGGAAGGTGTACTGTTGAGGCCAGGGTCAAGCCGGCCTCCTGCTCCTGCCAACTGAAGCCTTACTGCTAGTTTTTTCAAAAAGTATACCTGCATGGCGACTCACATCTCCACGGTGCCATGGGTCTCATCGTCCTAGATAGGAAGGAAACGGAAAGAATGCGGAATCTTTCTTTTTTTTTTTTAAGCAACAACAGCTTCATTGAAATTCTCAGTGGCCCTTTCACAGGCTCGGTCCTGTGTTGTTAGTTAACCAACAAGTGTGGTTGGTTGTCCTCACACTTGTACGACCGCCATCCTGATTCCAGAGTGTTCCATCAGCCCCAAAGCAACCTCCATGCCGGTAGCAGCCCTCCCTTTCTCCCTCCCACAGCTCCCGGCAGCCGCCAGCCACTCTGCTGCTGTAGCTGGACCCGTGGGGCAAAGTGTCCCCTCTCCCTGAGCCATGTTTCCGAGTTTCATGCAGGTGTTACCCTTCCTGCCTGTGGCTGGCTCATGCCGCCATGTGGGCAGTGCCCATCTTGTCCATCCCCTAGTTTGCTGGCAGTCACTCGTGTGGTTTGTGCCTGTTATTCTTGGTTCTCTTGGACCAGAAACCAACATTCTTGGTTGTTCCTGGAAGTGGAGTTGTGGAGTCACAGGGTGCGTCGATGGTGTCTTGGGGAAGCCCACTCTATGCGGGTGGCTGCTCCGTTGGCACGCCCGCCCATGATGTGCACAGGTCCAGACTCCATGCCCCCCGGGTGCCCTCCAGGTCTCTGGAGCCCGCCACCTTGCTGTCCCCGCAGGTGTGGAGTCACCCTTGGGGTGGCATTGCGTTTCCCTCGTACCTTAGGGCACTGAGTGTCTTCCTGGTGCTCTTTGGCAAAGACGCCCTTTCCCCCTTCTTCCAGGTGGCTTTCTGCTCAGGTTTCTTCAGAAGATGACAAGCAGGCACTGGTGTGCGGTTCCTGTGCTCTTTCTGTCCAGGGCTCTGGCAAGTGTCCCACGGTGCAAGGCCCTGGGCGTGGAAGGGCTGTTGGCCCTCAGGTACAGGACTGTTCGTTTGCCTTTTCTGTCCGTGTTTTTCTCTGTCCTCTAGTCTAAAGCATGTGGCTCAGTCAATGATTTCACTCTATGTAGTTGAGCTCACTTTGTTTCATGAATTACTAATTTTAAACGGGTACAAGATACGTGTTCTTGGACTTTGACCATTTTAAGGCCAGCAAGATTTTTTTTTATTGGTAAGTATGAAACTAAAGATAAAATATCAATGGATAATATTGATTAGAGTGTGTTTCAAAAAATGTAAAATTCATACTTTAAAAGCGTCTTTATTTTTAGTCTTATTTTTAGAAGAGATTTGTTTCATACTGAAATTGAACTCTAATGGGAAAAAAAACAGCTCTGAGGTTCTGTTGACCTTGACTTTCCTCATTAGCAGTTGTAAAATTATATCAGTAGTCACTGATGGTCAGCATTATCTTTGGAGTGTGGGAAGGGCTGCCCTGTTTCTAGGTGGCGGGTGTGGAAGGGTCCTCTTTGTTTGGTGGCAGGGACGTTCTTCGGTGCACCATGGTCACACACCAGGTCCTGCTGCGGGGTGCGGCACAGTGCTATTTACTTCAGGCGGCCCTGCGTTTGGTGGACGTGGTAAGTGACCCTCCATATTCCCTTTGTGGGTCTGTTTCAGGGCGTGGTTGTGGACAGGAGTAGCAGCCTGGCCCAGCATCTTCAACAGGGTGTGGCTCCGCAGGCCCTGGGAACTTTGGTGAATTTACCCTGTCCTGGGGATGGGAGGCCTGTGTGCAGAGTGATTAACTGGAGATGCTCTACCTTAACCAGGTCACGTGGTGATCACCCATTCACTAACAAATACTAAACAGTACTCTTCAAACTCCTGCCTAGGAGCAAGTGTCCCTTGGCGACGTCTCTGCGCTCCTCGTGTCTCTGAGACAGGAGGAGTCCTTAGGACGAGGAACTATGCTGTGGGCAGAGGTAAGACCGCACTTGAGCGCTTCAATGCTTTATAAACTCACTTTCTAACTGAATTTGCTTCTGACTATTCATGTAGGATGCCAGGATCATGCCAGGATCAACCTGTGGCCTGCCAGCAGGGACTCTGTGGCTCTGTGTGTGGTCCTCTAGTGGAGCTGGGGCTGCAGGGGAGCTGGGAGGGTCCCTGACCAGGTGCCATGAGGATTGGGCCACATCAGTCCCCACAGCATGAGCAGCAGGGACAACTCTCAGTTCTCTCAGGTAGTGGCCTCTGCCTGACGTTGGGGTCATTGGTAATTCTCCTGACTCTGGGTCCTAGTGTTAGACTCCCTCCTCCCCTGCATGGCCCAGACTACTGGGAAGCTGCCCTTCGAGAGGACAAGTCCTTGACCTTCCTGGCCTGGAAGCCCTGCTGCCGCTCTGACCACCTCTGTTTTCAGGGGACTCTGCAGGGCTCGACTGCTGCCACCGCCTCTTTTTTTTTTAATGGGACTTAATTCACACTATTAATTTACTGATTTTAGCTCTTATTTATTATATACTTGCTTGAGTTCTACCTTTTTTAAGGGTAGGAGCCATATATTTAAAACATGTCTGTTCAGTGCCTAAGAGACCACTGAGGAGGAGTGATTTCCTTTTGAGGGCCGTTGTGACCATCATTTATGGAAAGGAATGAGGGACCTGCCTGGTTGGTGTGACAGGAGGTGTGACACACCTGCCTCGGGTGCAGGAGGATGAGTTGATCCCAGCGTGTGGCAGAGGAATGAAGGAGGGCTTTAAACACTAAGAACTTACTCTTTTAATTGCGATGCAACTAATTATATGGAATTAGAAAAAATATAGAACCATATAAATAAAACAAAACCACCTGTAATGTTTGTTGTCAAACTGAATCCATATATTTTGGTTTGTTCCTTAATTTTATTTCCCATGAACATATGTACTCTTTCTTGCTTTTTGTTTAAGTGTTTTTTGGTTTTTTTTTTTGTTACCAGAGGTTAAACTCAAGGGTACTCAACCATTGAGTCACATTCTCAGCACTTTTTTGTATTTATTTAGAGACAGGGTCTCACTGAATTGCTTAGTGCCTCGCTTTTGCTAAGGCCAGCTTTGAACTCATGATCCTCCTGCCTCAGCCTCCCGAGCCACTGGGATTGCAGGTGTGTGCCACTGTGCCTGGCTAATCGTGTATTTTTAAAAAGATGTATTAATATATTGTTACATAAAATATTCCTACAGTAATTAAGATTGTACCATTTTGAATTTTATTTTTTGTTTTCATGTATCTGAGTATTTTGGCATGTTGCTAATAATCTTGTGATATTTAAAAATTCAGTTGATGAAATATTTTGGTTTTTAATCAGCTCTCCATTGGACTGGCTGCAGTTTTTGCTCTCATAAACACACTGAGTGTGGCACTTTCCCACAGGCTTTGACCTATTTACACCTCTCTAGAGGGTGGGTTCGCAGGATTGGCACTGCTGGGTCTCAGCATCTTAAGATTCTTGCAGGACAGAGGGGAGCCTGGGGGTCTGGAGGTGCGTGTTCACGTTACCACACAGCCCGCAGGCCTGCACGCCTCCCCCTGGGAGCTCTCACCTCTGGTAGATGAGCATGGTACTTGCCGTTGTCATTTGTCTCTCTCTGATACCTCATGTTTTCGACACTGTCATGCTTCTTATTTTTCATATAGCCTCTGTGAATTGTCTGTTTCCATCCTTCCTGCATTTTCTTTTAGGGGTTTTAGTGTTGTTTTTTTTTTCTATTTGAATAAATGCTTTTTTTTTTTTTTTTTTTATATTGAGGGTATTGGTAAGTTATATATCTTGCAAATAACTTTTCTTAGTTTGTTTTTATACACTCAGCTTCGCCTGCCTGACTAGGTAATGAATCTCCATGGTTTGAAGACTGAAATCACTGGCCAGGAGCATCTTGCTGGTCTTGCTCTTCTGCCCTGCCTATCCCTAAAGAAGTGGTAGCCTCTGATGCAAACTCTGTGTGCCACCCTTCAGACTTTAAAAGCGCCTTCATGAGTTTTGGTCAGCATGCAGAGGCCTTTCTCACACTGTGCATGTATAGTGTCCCCTGGGTCCTTGTGCTCTCTTCTTTCAGCTCCCCCCCCCACCCCCCCCAATTGCTGGACTCCTGTGTTGACCAGTCTTTGCTTTTACAGAGAAGGCTGCCTGGGTGATCTTGTTGTTCACTTCTGCACATCTGCCTGTAGGACAGGTTCTTAGGAGTGGGATTGCTGGTAAGGGAAGTGCATATGTGGTTCTGGGGGTACGGCCATGTGTCCCCCATGAATGTGTGTTAGTTTTTTTAACCACAGATAGAGTGGCTGAAGATAGCATGTGTTTGTTCTTACTCACTGCTGGGGCTTAGTCAATTTCATGGGCTGAAACCAAGGTTCTCAGGGAGAACCGTCTCCTCACCCCAGCTTCTAGAGCTGCAGCCCTTCCCCTCCCAGCCCAGCAGCCCAGCACCTTCAGATTTCTGGCGTTCATGAGAGCCAGGGGGTCCTCAGGTAATGCAGGGCTCCTTCCTGGAATCCTCCACTGAGTGATGGCCTGAGACCCTTTTCCCAGAAGGTGACATTCACGGTTTCCAGGGATAAGGGTACTGCTGTGCCATCCACTGCAGACTGCTTGGATTTTGCTTTGGACACTTGAACTTTCTCCAGGCTAGTGGGAGAGAAAGGTCATCTCGGTGTGATTTTGTGTCTGTTGAGGTTGGACACTTCTTCATCTTGTTTTAATTATTAAATTTTTTTTTTAAGTAGGAAAATTTTAAAACCCTTAAAGAGTCTAACAGCTTTCATGTATCTGTCACCATACAGTGCCATCACTACTATGGCCAGTTTTCTTCACCTAGGACCTCCCTTTTCTTTCTTCCTCTTAATTATTCTGAGTCTAATCCTATCAGATTCTATTTCCTCTATAAGTATTTTGGCCTGTATTGCTAAAAGATAAGGCCTAAGAATAGCCCCTCACACCTAAAAAACTTGAGTGAGGGGCAGTGGTTTATTTCAAATACCCAGTAAACGAGTCTCCTGTCCTTAGGTCCAATAGTTGAAGTTTCTCTTCAGGTGTCCCCATAGGCCTCGCCCTGCAGTTGGCGGGTCTGGTTTGCACACTGTGGGCTCTAGTCCACCTGAGTTCATCTTGCCATCTGTGTGAGCCTGAGGTGGGAGTGGGAAAGCGCATGTGTGGCTTTGAACTTGTGACCTCCTGCCTCAGCCTCTGACCCCCTGGGATAACAGGCCTTTCTGTTTTATGTTTTTTGTTTGTTTGTTTGTTTTTGTTTTAATTAAGGATCCAGGTCTTTATTTGCTCCACTTAATTTTGGGTTCTGTAATTCATTCACATCTGCTTCCGTCCTCCTCCTCCTCTCACTTTCCTGTAGCTGGCTTTGCTGATCTCCTGATGCCTTGAATTCATTTACTGAGGACTATTTACCACCCTCCTCTGTACATGAGGCACTCTGCCAGGCAGCAATAGAAACATGGTGGCTGTCCTTGGATGCTTATAGTTTGGTGGCTTGTGGTTAAACCCAAATTTTATTCTATTTTTTTTTTGTTTTGTTTAATAATGAAAGTACTTATATACTCAATCAGTACATGTTTATGTATTGAATTGTCTATGTGGCTATAACAAAATACCTGAGACTGTGTACTTTACAGAGGTCTTTAGGCCCACAGTGCTGGTGGCTGGAGGGTCCAGACAGCATGGTTCTGACATTCTGAAGAGGCCCCTCTGTCTGTTAGAACATGGTAGAGGAATGGAAAGGGAGCTGGCCCAGGCAGAAGGGCCATATCTGTGCAATGGCTTTGCTATATGACTGCCTGCTGTCATGAGAACCCACTCCATGAGATTGGCACCAATGAAGCCTTGCTGATTGGCCATCTTCCATTGAGTCCTACTCTTAGAGTTCCTACCCTCTCAGGGCTGCCCCGGTGGGGTCCTCCCTTGCTTCTGTCACAGGAACCCTTGTTGCACATTCAGGCCACACCCGCAGCCTGGCCTGAGTGTCTCTGGCCGTACCCTTGACTCTGTTATGTATTATTATTATTATGTCAACAATCTAGTTATTTTGCCTCTTTACATGTAATTTTGGATGACCTTAACAGATGCAAAAAAATTTTTTAGATGATTTAAAAGGGAGATTGATTACATAATATTTTCATTTTTTTTTTTTTTTTTTTTTTTGTACCAGGAGTTGACTCAGGGGCTCTTAAACACTGAGCCACATCCCCAGCTCTTTTTTATTTTTTATTTTTAAAGATAGGGTCTCACTGTGTTGCTTAGGGCCTTGCTGAGTTGTTGAGGCTGGCTTCGAACTTGTGATCCTCCTGCCTCAGCCTGTGACCCTCTGGGATAACAGGCGTGTGCCACCACGTCAGGCTACTTCCTTCATATTTGAACTCATTTATTGAAGTGTACATGAAGAAAGACACTGTAAAAACATATTTAAGTTCGCATTTAAATTCATATTGATTAATGTTCAAATTCACAGTTACATCTGATCCGAGATTAATTGTGAAATCCTGTGACTTTTATTTTTGCCGGACTTCTAAGAATTGTAATGGAGTAGGGCTGCAATGGCATTTCTCTTTTAAATCAGTATTTTTTAATATGTATACATGGTAGAATAAGCTTGTGAGAAAGGTAGGAAACTTTAGGTACAACTTCTATTTCATCAACTCTTACATTCTTTCAAAAGTAAAAGTTCTTATTTTCTTATAGGAAGCTGGAATGAGTCTTAATTTTTGATTGTGATTTGTTTTATATAATGTGCTATTTTGTATAAAGACATTGTTTAAGAATGCTTTCTTGGAAGGTATATTTTGTGTGGGACAATTCGTTGTTAGTGGTACAGACACTGTTGTGCCAGGTGGTCAGCCGAGTCTCACGCTGAGCCACCAGCTGTATGCACAGTGCATGTAGACTGTACGCAGTCCTGCGCTGTCCCCTGAGAGTGTCACGGGGCTGTTGTACTGAGGACTTAACGTTCAGTTTATTGTGGAAGAAAGAAGCTGGCTTAGGGACACCAGCGAGGCTGTGTTCAGGTAGGGTTTTGAAACAAGCCATCCATTCCGTGTCCCCTCCCAGCTCTGCGACTGGCTGCGTGGGAACGAGCGGTACTTCAGGCAGCCCTCTGCCAGTGGCTCCCAGGGCCTACAGGAGGCATCCTTGACCACATATGTGAAGAACCTCATCCAGGAGTATGTGAGGTCCCCTGCCTGGGAAGGTGAGTCTGAGGGCTGTGTGTGGACCGAGCCAGATGCTTTCCAAGAGTGCTTCACTGGCCTCTCAGATTCTGATTTGCTGAACTTGAATTTCAGTCAGATCAAGTGAGTCGCAGAAGTTCTGCCCCCCGTTTGCACTTCAGCTGTTCTGAGACTTGTGATGTCACATTATTTCAGATTTCCAGAAGCTGCTGAGTCACCACAGTAGGAATTGGACACAAAGACACTTTAGTTTTCATTAATAATTTCTATTTCTCACATATGGTAATTTTTCCCCCATATTTTTTGTGGCTGTGTTGTAGCTGAACATAGCGGTGGGATCTGTCATCACACAGTGTGACAACGTGATGTGGCTAGTTCCCTCCCCAGTGTTCCTTCCCTTCCTCCCTCCCTCCTCCCCCTCTCCTACACTGGTCTCCCTTCCATTTTGATGACCCTTCCCCCCTTTTCCTTTTCCTCTCTGGCTTCTGCACATGAGAGAAAACATGTGACCCTTGATGGTTGGAGTTGACTCATTTCACTTAGCACGGTGGTCTCAAGTCTGTCCATTTTCCTGCAGGTGACATGATTTCATTCTTCTTTATAGCTGAATAAAATTCTGGTGTGTATACCACACGTTTTTCATCCATTGCAGGATCCCTAGGCTGGTCCTGCAGTTTGACTACTAAGTGGATTAATTTATTCTACAGCACTGATCCTGGGAGCTAGATGTATAGATGTGTTTTGGAATTTGTGTAATGGAAAATACGTGGATACAGATTGATGTTTCTTGTTTTCAGAATTTCCCTTTAGCATGCACTGATTACAAGAAACAGTTTTAGAGAAAACTTTTTTTGAAAGGATGGTATTGTTAATTTTTTCTTTTTATCACATACTTAGTGAAGGCCAGGATCTGGTCTGTGTGTTTGCATGCTGGGGATCAAGCCCAGGCTTTGCAGGTGCCTGGCAGGCCCTCTGCCACAGAGCTGCATCCCCAGCCACTGAAGAGCAGTTTTATAAAGACCCCTTCTTTGGGGATAGTATGAGAGAAGGAGTCTTGGCAGGCTCATTAATTAGAATTCTTTTTATATTTCTAATGCTTCCCCTTCATTAATGTCATTAGTGATAATTTGGTAAAATTGCATCTTTGAATTTAACTGTGTCTTAAATTTCCTTTGTTTCAAACCAACTCATTCATTTGCTGATTTTTCTAATTTGATCATGGAATAGGTCTTAAATGATCAGATAATTATCCTTTCAGCATGCATGAGTTTATCTTTCTTGGAACATTTCTCTCTGTTGTGCCTTTCCTTGAGAAAAGAGGTGGGTGGAGGCCTGCAGCCTGGCCTTCGGGCCTCTGCTCTGCCTCCCCTCTGCCTCCTCTGGCTTCTCCTGTCCTCTTTCACAGTGTCTCTGGGGAAATATTTTCAAATGCTAATTTCTATCTTAAGCATTTTCCCTCATTCTTGTGTGGGTTGCCTTCAGAGGCTTCCTGGAGGACAGACTCCTCTGCTGGGCTCCTGGGTGTCCTGATCCCACCTGTTCCTGTGGGGCCATGGGGGTGTGCTGGGCGTGCTGTGTCCTGGAACGGGCAGGCCCTCCCCTTGCAGAGCCCTGGCTGCTCTCCTTGTCTGGAGGTCTTGTTTCCCACCGAGCTGGTCCTTCTCAGCTGTCCAGTCAGCTCCTCTTCAGGGAGCCTGCTCTTGCTGCCCTCCAGGGCAGTGCTCTGCTGCGGCACCTGCTCCTCTTCTCGGGGCTCTGGTTCTGTGTCCTTCGTAGTGTGTGATTGCGGCTTTCCTCTCGTGCTGCCTGTAGGTTCCCAGGTATGGGGACCATGGTGTGGTCAGTGTGCGGCACGCAGCACACGTGCAGCTTGGTTTTGTTTTCACGAGCACGTGATACTGACCCTCGGGGGCCATGGCTGTTGCTCTACTATAAACATGAGAAGGCACTGTCACTTAGCTGTTTTGCCTCTGAAGCAGCATCTCTGAAGGGTTTTGTTAATGTCTTGCAAACCTTGACTTCTGTCCCTCAGCAGGAGAAGGCAGCCTCGTGCCTGATGGGCTGGAGGCCCGGCTGACGGCTACAATGGTCTTGCTGGCGGTGGATGTGGAAGCAAAGAAGGCCCAAAACAGGTAATGGACCTGGTGACAAGAACACCCATCAGATGTCTGACGCGTGTTCAGGCTCTTCAGTGCCTCCTGTAGAGCTGGTCCCAGAGTGTCCCAGGACTGGGCCACGATATTGGTAACACACCGAAGTGTTTAAAATTAACAGCCAGTACATAGGAAAGGGGACTTACTGGTGCTTTTAGGTTTCTAAGTTAAACACTAAATTAAATTTAACATTTTAATGTTTAATTAGAGAAGGTAAAAACCCCTGGTTTTCTACCAGCATTAGAGGATTGGGCTGTGGGAGGCCAGCGTAAGATTGGGGGGAGGCATTACTGGATCTGACTCCTTTGTAAAATACATAATTTTAAAAAAATGATAATAAGGATAAAGCCACGTCAATTTTTTTTGTACTTTTTAAACACATCTGCTCTTCTTGACTAGTTTGTGTCTTGCTTCTCTGTGTCATGGAAGCAGGCCCTCAGGATGACTTATACCTAAGTTGGTACAGGTTCCCCAGGGCCTGGGGGTGGTAGCCGTGGACCTGCCCTGTGCTTTCTGCTCTAGAGAATCACTATACTTGAGAAAGTAGAGACTGAGAGATTCACTGTGGGTACTGGGTGCTTGGTCATCCATAGGGTGACCTTGTGTGTGACTCGGCCAACCAACCCCCAGAGTACAGATGGGAAATAACCCCTGTGCTTTGGAGGTGGTTGACTTGGGCATGTTTTTTCACGTGTAGTGGAAAGCAGAGGACACAGAATGTGTTGGGGCTGTTCTTGGATCCCCTGCTGGGAGCCCTGGTGAAGTTCAGTACAAACGCCTACGTGCCGGTGCCGAAGACCGACCGGTGTCTGCAGCTGCTGCTGACGTTGTTGCACACATGCATGTTGAGAGGCTCCGGCGCCCAGGAGGGTGAGGACCGTGTCCTGCTCAGTGGGCGCTGCATTCAGGAGAAGGAGAGCATCTCCTGGGGGGTGTGGGCATCAGGGAGCTGGGGCTCCAGTGAGTGACAGGTACTGGTCGCGCTGCGTGTTTAAGTGTTTCATTTGCTTTTTAAAAAAATGTATGCTTTTGCTCATTAATTTCCAGACCACTGAAAATGGTCACTCTGTCACATCTGGTTAGCAGGGTCCGTTTCCAGTTGCCACCAAGCCAGATGTTGTGGGAAGCAGGAGGCTGAGGCGTGAATGAGGGGGTGATCCTGTACTTGCTTTGCTTCCAATGGTGTAGGAAACACATGGTGTGGGTGAAGGCACCGAGCACACTGCTCTGCTCCAGCTAAGATGTATGGGCGAGCGGAGACCACGTGGCCTTCAGAGATGAGAGTTTTGATGTGTGAACCTCAGCTTTCAACCTTTTCTGACCAATTGCATTTGTAATTTTAGAAACTTGCTATTTAAAAATTCATTGGTATTAAGTTAGTGATATTGATATGATTAGATTTGAATGCATGTTTATGAAATAGAGTCTAGTATCAAAATTTTGGTATCCTCTCTAATAGGAGCAAAACCAGCTGCTGTGAACAGTCACTTGTCAGATTTTTGGCTCCTTCAGAGAATTGGTTTGGATCCTTTCAACATGTCCTGACAGTGACTGTCCTTGGGTTTTCAGTGCTGGGTGGGGTCACGTGCCTTTGAAAACTCCTGGCAATGCTCGATACAAGTGAGCGTGTGGGGTCATGTGTCCTGGACGCACAGTGACGGCCCAGCCTGGGCCCCGGGCCCGCCCTGGGCGAGCTAGCCTGCTGCTCCTCAGGCCCCCTCCACGACCCTGCTTTGGCTTTTCCTTTTTGCCTGCATGCAGTTTGGAAAAGGTTTTTCCCACATATGCTTGGTGCTCTTTAATGACACTGATGTTCTTTTAAAACCACTTTATGGAGGTGTGATTGAGATGTTAAAAAGCTGTACAATTTCATGGGCTTGGGGTGTGTCGCACCCAGGGAGCCACCCCACTTAGGCCACAGAAGTACCCGGCACCCCCAGGTTTCCTCTGCCCTGCCATTGTCTGTGACGGGAGCACTGTGCAGTGCTGACCCTGCACACGGCAGGTGTGGGACACAGCCAGGGGACTCCGGAGCCATTTCAGGCTCAGAACTGTGGCTTGAAGCCAGAGCCCAGGCTGGGGCGTCTTGTTTCATGGCTTGTCTCTTGCTCTGCGGGCTTCTCGCTCTCTTCTCCCTCATCACTTTGCACTGAGCATGTTGGTGCTGCTGGTGTCGTGGGGACTCATCACTGAGGCCCAAGGAAGGAGCCTTTTCCCGCTGTTCTTGCTGTACCTTTGCAGTTTGGGGTCTCCTGTCTGAGCCTGCGGGCGTCTTGGTTGGTTTCTTCAGGGTGAGGAGGGGGCATTCTCATGAGTTTCCTTCTCCGGCAGGAGGCGCTCAGGCTTTATCACATTTGGGAAGTTTTGTGTTTTTTTTTTTTTTAAGTCAAATACTTTTTTAGCACCACACCTCACCAGTGTGGAAGACAGAACTCTCCCAGCGGCCTGGTGGCAGTGTCCTTAGAGACTGGCCCCCTGGGCACGCCTGGGTTTGACTCTGCGGCTTCCTTTTCCCCATCTGAGGCTTTATAGAAACGGCGTCTTTGGATTCGAATTCACGTGGTAGATTTTCTTCTGACTTCTATTTAGATCATTGTATTTGAAGCGGATTTCTTACAGACGGCATGTGGTAAGGGCCTGATTTTTTAATCTATCCTGATAGTCTCTCTTTTAATTAATGTAAATCATTTGCATTTCTTTATATTTTTCATTTTTTTTTTCTCCTTCATTGCCCAGATTGGCCCCTGGCTCCTGGGCCCATGTGGTACTCTCACCTCAGCCTCCTGAGGAGCGGGGATTCTGGGCTCATGCCACTGGGCAGGGCTGCCCATTTGCTTTTGATCTAATCATTTTTGTGTCAGGATTTAGGTCCATCACTTTATTTTTTGTATTCTGTTTATTTCCCTTCTGTTTTTAAATTTTTTTTCTTTCCTTTCTTATAGCTTCTTTTGGTCAATTTGAATATTACGATGTTTTGTATTCCATTTCAGTTTGTCCTACTATTGTGTTTATGCTAAATGTTCAGCTATTTTAGTGCTTGCTGTAGAATTACAATGTACATACTTTCTGTAGTCTACTTAGAATTAATATTTAATCACTTGAAGTGAATATAGGAATTTCCCACCTTATTTAGGCTCCTTCCCACTCCCATCCCCTTTACAGTTGCCTCCTATTTACGTTTGTGCAGAGCTGTTTCAGACGACGTTATCTTTGCTTTCAGTCATCAGCCATTTTAAAGAACTCGAGAAAAGAAGCTGCCATTCACTGGTGCTTGCAGGTTTCCTTTGCTCTCCTTCCATTCTTGATGTTCAGGTGTCCCTGTGGCATTGAAGCCCTTTTGTTTGAAAAGCTTCCTGTAGTATTTCTTTTGGAACACTTTGTTGGCAATGAATAATACTAGTTTTCCTTCATCTGAGGATCTCTCTGTTTCACCTCCTAAAGGATACTTTTGCTGGGTATAACTTTGAAGGTTTGACAGATCTTACCTTTCAGCAGATTGAATTGTCAAGCTGCTGGCCTCTGGCCCCTAGGGTGGTTCAGAATCTCCCCTCCTATGTTATTTCTCTCTGCTTCCAGCATTACTGCTTCATCCCCAGTTTTTAGCATGTGGTTAGGTGTCTGGGCAGGAGTCCTTTAAGGAGGGGTGGTTATCCTTTTGAAATTCCTGACCTCCTTCAGTCTGTAGATTTATATCCTTTATCACATTTTAGGAAGTTTTATTTGTTTGTTTGTTCGTTTGTGTTTAAGTCAAATACTTTTTCAGCACCACACTATTCCTCTTGTCCTTCTGGGTCCCTGATGGCATGAGTGATAGATCAACTTTGTTATTACCCCACGGGCATCTGAGAGTCTATCTTTTTTTGTTTTTAGGTATTTTTCTGTCTGTTTCTCAGATTGTATATTTTTAGTGACTTATTTTTAAGTTCATTGACTCCTGTCTCTTCTTTTATTTCAGTTATTATACTTCCTAGTCTTCAAGATTTCTGTATCTCTTTGATTTATCTGCTGAGACTTTCTGTTTCACTTGTTTAAAGAGTGTTCTGTTTGCTTGAAGAAGCATTTTTATAAGAGCTGCTTTAATAGTTTCGTATGGTCTGTAGATTGTCCTTCCTGTGAGCTGAGACTCTGTGGTTTCCTGGGAAAGTTCTCCATTTTACCCTTGCTGTTTTGACTGTCATGGTCTGGGACCATGGGTCTCATTTGAGTCCTGCTGCAAATGCTGCTTTTGCTCAGCAGCCATTTGATCCAGGAAGATCCTGGCCTCGTGTTGTTACCCAGCTCTTGTGGGTGCTGATTCTACCCCTCAAAGTGCTCTCTGGAGCTGCCCCTCACCTGTCTCATCCTGTGGCCCTGCTGGGGCTGGGCTGTGAGGTGTCCGTTGGTCGGTGCTGGAGTCTGTGGTGTGCGGTGCAGCGCCTGCTGCGGGTGAGCAGGAGCACAGAGCTTAGTGGCCACTTCCCGGGCTCCTCCTCTCTGCAGCCTCCCGAACACTGGCTCTCCACTTCCCAGGTCTCTCTGTTCATCCTCTGACTAGCTCACTGCGGCCCTTGCTGCACTGCTTTCCTGCTGCTCCTGGGTCTGTTGCAATCATAGATGAGCAGAAGGAGGTTTCAGGGGGCTCCCTGACCATTAGGGTCACTTCTTTCTGGATTGTGTGCTGCCCTGAGGATGTGTGAGCATTTTCCCTAGGCCCACAGCTGCATTCAGTGTTCTGGGGCGTGTCCCTGGCCATTCTGCCGAGGGCTGTCCCTCTTTGGTGATGGTTTGGGTATAGATGTCCCTGGGGCAGGAGTGACCACAGGAAAACACTGTCAGTTAAGGTTACCCCAGGTCGTACTGATGTTCTGTTCCAAGACGCTTGCTTCTGTCATTGTAGCCAGATGCTTTTCCCTACAGATGAGGTGTCCATACTTCTGCAGAGCCTCCTCATGTCCGCCTCAGAGAGTGTGTCCGAGTTCATTCTCAGGAGACTCACCATGGACGAGCTCCGCACCGTGAGTAACCTGCCTGTACTTCCTTTCATGTTCCCATTGGCAGTCATTGTACTAACCCGAGGAGAAAAATTGCCTTCACATGATAGTTTCTGAAGAAGCAGCAGAAACGGACTTTGGAGCTTCCTGTCCCCCTTCCATTGGTGTCATGGTCTGTGACCTGGCCACTTATGTAGCTCCTCTGAGCCTCAGTTTCCTCACCTGACAAATGGAGACAGTACACCTATCTACTTCCCAGGGCTTCAGGGAAGTCGTTTTAGGTGGTGCGTAGTGGTTGAGGTACTCCACATTCAGTGCACATCTGGTTTGGCAGGTTTTGTTGGGACCAGGGCGTTGGTTATTTTTTTTAGCTCTGTTGGTTGTTCTGAGCCACAGGGAGGCTTAGGAACGGTGAGTTTGGACTCACGCTGCTCTGTGATCGCTGTGTCTTTGCTCTCCCTGTATTCCAAAGAGTGGGTTCTTTCCAGGACATCTAAAAATAGTAGAGTTTTTTCCCTTTCAGGAATAGTCTGAAAAATAATCGATTTTATAGAAACATCCATTTTTGTTGTTGTTTGACACCTGTTGGGACAAATGTTGAAGTAAATTAAAGCTTAGGTTGCCAAGAAAGTGAGAAAATGTACTTACTTAAAGGACTTTTATTTCAGAGTCCAGTTAATCACTTTCCAGTGTGAACAAGTGTGAAAAAGTAGACAAACAGGTTTGGTAGGTAGGCCCAAGGGTTTGTGGCACAGAGCTGGGGGTGGTGTTTACCCACAGCTGTAATTCACGCCCACGTCTGCATTTCCAAAGGGCATTTAATGAGGCAGCAATAGTATTATAAGTTTTGCACTAATATGATTTTACTATCCTCAGTATTATTATTACCATTTTAGGATTTTTAAATTTTTTTTTGGACAAGAGCCTTTTATTTTTATTATAAATATTTATTTTTTAGTTTTAGGTGGACACAATATCTTTGTTTTATATTTATGTGGTGCTGAGGATCAAACCCAGTGCCTCATGCATGCTAGGTGAGCACTCTCCCTCTGAGACACAACCCCAGCCCCATATTTTTACCTTTTTATTATTGGAAATTTTCAAACATACACAGAAGACCTGTCATGCACCCTTTACATAACCTAAATGTTTTTGTTTGGATTGCAAGCTAAAAATAACTTGAGAAAGGGAAGGCTTAATGTTATTTTCTTTTACTCACAAAGATTTTTAAAAAGTCAACTCTCTTTATGATAGTGCTGAAGTCTTTTGAGAATTTACTCTTTAATAAACCAGGTGTTACCTTACCAATGAAGTGGGAGCTCAGAGCTCAGTGGATGCCCTGCTGTCTCCTGTCCCCATCCCCATGGCTCGGTCCTGCACTGCCTGGTGTCACAACAGTTCTTGGGTGTCTCATGACCGAATGAGGTCACGAGGTGGCCTCCTAACAGGGCTACTATGGAAGGGTGACCATCTGCGATGGTACACGTAGCCCTGCGTGGAGGAGGACAGGGCTGGCAGACGGGGCAGCTGTGCAACTGCCTGCTAGATATGCCCGCCTGTGCCCGGGACCCAGGCTGCTCCTGACCTCCCTCGCCCACAGCACTGGGCAGCCCCCAATCACTCCTGTGCTATTGGCAGGGTGTTGTGCTGCCGGTCTTTTCTGGATTTTCAGCCCCCCTCCCTGCCCCTCGCTGCCCAGGCCCTCTCAGTCCCACACCTTCCACCCCCGTGAGCTCTGTGTGGACTTCACCCTGTTCTAATCTGGCATTTATCTCAGTAGGACAGACATGATGAGATTGTCTGTGACTGCCCTGTCCTAACCCTAGCCAATAGGTCCCTGTCTGTTGACGTGATCCTTGGCATGTGGGCTGTTTCTGGCCACCTCTAGACTGTTGCCCATCCTTACTGACGGTGAATCCTGCTCCCGATTCCCCTGAGCCCCTGGTTCCCTTTCTTTGTGGAATGTCCATCCTCTGCTGTGTGGACTTTGGAGCTGGTGCTCTCCAGAGCTGGGCACTGCCCCTCTTCTCGTCCCAAGTTGCAGCTGCACAGGAGGCCCTGTCTCCAGCCTGCACTGCCCTCTGCCCCCCACATTGGGCAGCTCAAGTAGAGGTTCTCTGGTGTGCCTGTCGAGAGCCAAAGCCCCTGTCATTCCTCCTTGGGAGCTTCTCCAGGCCCCTTCCCAGAGGAAGCACCGGACCCTGCCACTGTTGCGCCAGCACCCGTTCCACTCCTCGTCCTTTATTCTGCAGCACATGTGACAACTGTTTCCTCCGTGGAACTGCTTCCCGGGACCCAGCAAAGCGCCAGACAGTTGCTCAGTGGAAACAGATTAGATTGACTGGTGTTTCTGTGCTGTGGAGGCTTCTTGTGGTGCACAGAGTCTGCTGGGTTGAAATAATGACTAAGGCCACCACTTTCTCTCATTTCATTGTTTTAAAACCCTGTGATGGACAGGTGTTGCTGGCTACCTGTAGCTAAGGACGCTGGGCCTGAGGAGGTGAGGTAGCTGGCCCCAGGGTGCAGAGCTGGTGTGTGAGCCTCGTGTTCTTACCTTGAACACAGCACGGCAGTCCCGTGCACATAGCTTGGCAGGACATCGTCTCGTTTGGGTGTGGGGACAGATGATGCCCTTGCTGGTGAAGTGGGCTGACAATCGCGTGCAGTCGGTGTGCGCAGGGCCTGGGAGGCTACAGGGAGACCCGCCTGTCCTGCTTGTGTGTCCACACTGCTGCAAGCCAGCCTGTGCCCGCATGTATTTTAACACTTGTCCTAGGTTTCAGATCTCGACCGTTGCCACTTGTACCTGATGGTCTTAACTGAGCTCATACATCTCCAGCTGAAGTTGGGGTGGAAAGCGGGTGCCCCTATCTGCAGAGTTATTTCTCCTTTGAAGAATGCATGCATTCGGCACCTTCAGGAGACCGATAGTGGACAGGTAATCTCTTAGACTAAAGTTTTGTTGACAAGGCACACTGGGAATGCATGTTCTCTTGTTATGCAGTATTTTGAAGTCACAGAAAATATTTGCTGAGACTTAGTTGTTAAAATAGTGCCTGCAGGTGACAGTACTATGGAAGCCAAGCCCTTGTCCCAGAGCAGTGGAGTGCTGGCCCTGGCAAGCAGCCAGCATGGGCTGAGACCACACAGAGCCCACCATTGCTGGCATGGGTCTCAGGTGCTGCAATCCAGGGCCGAGGGAGGCCAGAGCACACTGGCCTGTCCCCTGCAGCAGCCCATCCAGGCCCTGCAGATGCCGCTCCACACAGTGCTCCAGCTCCCAACCCTGGAGCCTCCAGGATCCTCTGACCTCAGCCTCCCACCTTCTGTAGGCACTCACCCCTTGGTTAGAGGTTTCAGGCTCCTGAACTCACTGCTAGGTCACCATCTTGACTTTCTCTGTGTAAAGCAGCCAGGCCATCTTAGTCCCTACCTCATGTTCATGCCTGTGGAGCCCCAGGTGTTCTGCATGAAATAATCCAGTTGTGTGACACTTTACAGAGCCCTGTAGAGTAGATCCCATCATTGTCCCCAGTTCACAGGTGGGGAAACCCGGGCGTGACCTGTCCTCACCGGTGCTGCTGATAGTGCAGGCCTTGGCACTGTGGTCCCGGGCCCGGCTCTTGTCTGCTGTGCCCGTGGCTGACCAAGGGAAGGACTTGCGATTTGGACTCTTTTAAAAAAAAAAAAAAAAAAAAATCATGCATCAGTGTATAGCAGAAGAAGACTTCGCCCTGGGAGTGGGTGCAGACGCAAGTGGGCAGGAAGGGGTTGTGGGGCACCAGCCCTGGTGTGTGCTGCTGCCACTCGAGGTCACCGTCTTCCTCCTCTGGAGCGCTGCCTTTTCACTGCCTGTCAGGAGCAGTGGTGCCGCTGGGTGGTGGGTGTTGGTTTCCTTTTGTTTCCCCATGTCCAGCTGCTGGGGGGCAGGGGTTTGGGAGCCTGGCAGCAGAGGTCCTCACTGGGGGCTTGCTTCTCTGTCCTTGCAGGAGCCCACACTTGCTCGTCAGATCCAGAGAGTGACTAGCATGGCCACCTTGGCCAGGGTGTGTGAGGCAATTGATCTGCAGCCTGCCCTGCAGCAGGAGTCCCTGAACACGGGGCCCCTGGAAAGGTTCCTTTCCACTCTTCCGTTTAACCAAACTCTGCAGAAGCCCTGTGCAGAGGACCCGGAGAGCAGCAGGTGGGTCCAGGCACCTCCAACCCACCTCTGCTCTCATCGAGGTGACGGGAGAGTGCCCACAGTGCCAGGGTGCTGTGGGATGGGTGGGGGGCTTCTTCTGGGGTGAACATATCTGTCACGTGTTGATTTCTGCATTTAGTTCCCAGGGACTTGTGTAAAGTTGTGAAAGTGTCTACTTTCAGGTAGTTGGAAAATAGGTTTATGAGGTTGCCTGTGTGTAAGAAGACACCATGTTTGATGATGACTGTGTTTGTCTTAGTTTTCTGTTGCTATAACAAAATACCTGAGACTGGGAAGTTTATGGAGTTTATTTTGGCTTGTGGCTCTGGAAATTGGAAAGCCTAAGAACATGGTGTGGGTGCATGCTGGGCCCCATGCTGCCGTACCAATGGCAGAGAGATCAGAAGAGCACAGAGATGTAGACCAGAGAGCACGAGGGCAGCCTCGCTGCGGGGACCTATGTGCGGTCACCAGTCCAGTTCCTCGAGAGGAAGAACTTGCTCCCAGGCTGGGAGCAGCACTGGTCCACTCATGAGCTCTGAGAGGACCCCATGCCTCTCCCCCCACCTCCCTGCTGACCAAGGAGCCACCCGTGGGTTTTGCTGGGGACAGACCACACACAGACCACAGCGTCTGTGTCCCCTTCATAAGGACAGCAAACTGCATGTGAAAGAAACGGAGACTGGGTTGCCGAAGTGTGGCATGGTGACGCGGGTCTTTCAGTTTTTTTGAGGAGTCATCGTCTTGCCAAGGATGGGGGAAGATTGTAGCCCAGTATGTCCACGATCAGTGGGTCTGCCTCTCTTTCTTGTTGAGACGGTGCCACCCCCTTGAGCCAGCCGCAGAAGAGGACAAGCTGGAGCCCTCACTGCCCTCTGTGCGTACACCAGCACAGACCCTGTGTGCTGCACTGGATGCCCTCTCCATTCTGCCCTCTGACCAGGTCTCACCAGTGTTCTGCTGCATGAAGGCTCTGGTCCCCCAGGTGAGCAAGTGGCATGACCCAGAGTGGCAGGGTGTGAGCGTGGGTCCCAGGCTAAGTGCTCCGTCGCCCCCATCTCCCTCCCCCAGCTGCTGACCTCATCTGAGTCGCTCTGTGTGGAGTCTTTCGACGTGGCCTGGAGAGTCCTGACCTCCTTGAGCAACACCCAGCTGACGTTCTGGCCCAACTTGAGAGCTTTCGTTCAGTTTGTTTTTGATGATACCATTCTCGCCACCGCTGCGAAAACCAAGGGCCAGGCATATTTCAGGATAAAAGAGGTGACTTTCTCTTTTTAATGCATGTGACATGGGACACGGGGGAGGAGTGGTATGTGTGTGATTGCTGGTTGACTGAGGCGTGACCATGAGTCCAGCATGTGTTCCTGAGCCCGGAATTGTCGTGGGATGAAGAAACCTGACTCACTGCCTCACCAGCGTGTTTGGTTCACACAGTGTTGGAATCCTGAATAAGCTGGTCACTTGGGAATTGGGGAATCTGCCTGAAAACCTAGGTGTCCCTTCTCAAGGGACACTGTGACCTGGTGGCACATTCCAACAGGACAGCTAGCGCCTGGCGTTTAGCTGGGCTGCCCTGCACTCCCACCTCTCCCTGGGGAATGGAAGGCAGGCACTACCTATCTGTGTTGTCCTGCTGGGATTTCCTTGGAGAAATACTCCGCTGGATCTGATCTAGCAGAAGGTCTCTCTGGGCTCAGGGAGGAGTGCTTGTCTAGCATATGTGAGGGCCTAGGTTCAATTCCCAAAAACAAAAATGTAAAAAGACTCTGGCTCAGAGAGTTCTCACCAGCCCTCTGCCCACAGACTGCACATCCACAGGTTCAGCCAACAGTAGGTTTAAAAGATCTGAGAAAATCTGCATGTGTACTGAACACACGGATGTTTTTCTTGCCGTTGTTCCCTGAACAGGAGAGTGTAACCTGTTTGTGTGGCATTTACATTGTATTGGGCATCATCGGTAACCTGTGCTGATGCCTGGTGCGCAGAGGGTGAGCACAGGGACAGCAGAGGCTGCACCAGCATTGCACAGTGGGGCCTGTAGCGCATCCTGCCAGGGTTCTGGCGTCCCCTGCTCAAGGCCCTGTCCTGCATGGGGGTCCTGGCTGCCTCAGGCAGAGCCAGGCCAGTGGCCAAATTTGAAGGGAATCCAACAGCACAGTGAGGTGTCTCCCCCATCCTGCTCCCTGGGGCACTTGTTTCCCTGAGTTCTGAACGAGTATCCTCATCAGCAAATTTTATATATCTTTATTATTGAGAAATGAAAAATTAGCATTCTGGGATTATTGACCATTTTGCAAAGTTATTCTAAAAGTAATGAATTTTAAATTTTTTATACTAGTCATGATTCTGTTGACACTGTCATTAGAATCCATTCAAGTAACAGTTTTTAGCAACTTATTTTATTTAAACTCAGTCCAAGGATAAAGTCACCATTTTATTTTGTTTCAGATTATGTACAAGATCATTGAAATGTCTGCTGTAAAAACTGGGGTCTTCAATACACTGATGAGTCACTGCTGCCGGTCATGGCTGGCGTCTGCCAGAGACCCCCAGGGGTCTCTGTCCAGCGCCAGGCACTACAGCGAACTCATCCTAGAGGCGTGTATGTTTGGAACTGTGTTCAGACGTGATCAGAGGTAAAGTGCTGTCGATGCAGCTCGTCCTGATGTCCCGTTACCTGTGTGGGTACAAGTCTTTGCTCTGAGGCGTTAGAAGACTGTAGAGCATTAGTCGCTTTTTTGGACTTTGGGTTTCTTTTTTTAATCTAAACTTGATTTTTCTCCCTTTTCTTATGGAAAGACTTATTCAGGATGTACAGGCCTTCATAGAGAGTCTGGGACATGACTGTGCAACCAATGTTGTCATGGAGAGGTAAGTGTGGCAGGTCCCTGTGTGTTAGCATGCGTGGGGGACACCAGGTTTAGTACCAGACGGCAGTTGTGCTGTGTTTGTCAGAGTTGATAAATGATATCTACTCTGGGACAAGCTGTGGAGCAAGGCCTCAATGGCACATCAGAAACTGCACCTGGGTAGAGCACTTGCCTGGCACTGGTGAGGTCCTGGGTTCTATCCCCAGTACCATGAAGAAAAAATAGAGAAGGAAAAATCATCTTTCTTGCTAATGTATTTACTTCACAGGTTTCGACATTTTCTAAAATTTAATCAGCTTTTAAAAATGGAGCGCAAAGTCTAGTGTCAGTGAGCAAGTGGTGTTGGAGAATATAAAGGCCCAGCCCCTCCTCTGGGTGCCTGGGTAGCCGTCAGTCTAAATCCTTTATTCCTCACATCTTTCTTTTTTTTGTGAATGTATCAATTATTCAGGTTCACCATTTTGACAGGTCAAAATGTTATATGCAAAAACAGAAGCACCCACAGAGCAGCCTGGGTGCTGGGACCACGCCTGCATAACAATTAGAGGTGTGATTGACATGTCGGAGACGAGTGTGCCCAGCTACGCTGGATGCGTGTGGGCCTGGGCTGCAGGGTTTTGATCTTTGTGATGAGATTCTTGTCTGACCTTTTACCTGACTTTTTTGGAGACCATGAAACGTTTTTTCCAAGTTTCTGTGTTCCCAGGGCTTTCCAGTACTTATGTGTTTACAAAGGAGATGACTAAGTGTATCTTTTGCTCGGATCCTGAGCTTCGGACACCCCGCGGTGGCTGTGTAGTTGTCTGGAGCAGGCGTTGCCCTGAGTGGCTGCGGTGCTGTGTCATCAGCTACTCGTGCTCAAGTGTCTGGTTCTTTTCACTTTTGTTCAGCACAATGATAGGTGGGGCTTCGGGCCCGTTCTTGCCAGGCCCATGGATTTCTGCTCCACAGCTGCTTTGCTGTTAAAATGGCATCCACTCATGTTATAACTTAAAATGCAATGTGGAAATGCCGCTAACAACTTCACCTAATTTATCTTTCTGCGTTTGGAGACTGAAAGCATGGGACGTGCAGGATATGTGTCTGCCTTATTGGAGATGCACATGTCTTTGTGCCCATGGTGACCCATAACTGTGTTGCTTCAAAGAGTGGAGCTTCTTGGGTCTCCAGCAGGTCCCTCTGTCTACAGAGGAGATGTGACTGGCCAGCTGGATGGGTGGTACTGGGTCACACCTGGTGGGCACACTCCCGCTGGTGTGTTCCTTGTTACCTTCTGCTGTTCCTGAATTAGAAGTGTTGTCATTAAGCATGTGCCACTTGATCTTAGATGACTTTGGGGAGGATTTGATATTTATCATGGCATTTTGAAACTAACAGTTAATGTATTTTTCTGTTTGTTTAAAACATAGTAACATAGTTCACCATTCCATGTTTTTAGTACTAAAAAGGAAGACTGTTATGTGAGGGTCTGTGCCATCAAATTCCTGTGTCTGTTAGACGGCTCGAACACGGCCCACAAGTCATTCATGGAGGATCTTGCAATCAAGCTGTTGGACAAAGTAAATATGCTTTATTTCTCTTTGTTTTTAACAAGTGAAAAGTCCAGCATTACTCTGTTTCTAGATATTTTGTACCAGGAGAAAGCATGAGGTTGGCATTCTGTGTTCTTAGCTGAGTGTTGGCTGTCACTATCCCACTTCGGGTGGGTTCCTGGAGCCTACTGATGGCCACTGTGTTTACAGTGCTGTATGCACATGGTGTTCTGTGGAGCAAGTGGCCTGGACAGATGCATGCCGGGAGGCAGCAGGTATGCTCTCAGGTGGAACAAGATATACTGAGACGCGTGGTCAGCTGTGCAGACGGGCTCCAGGAAGGCTCCTGCAAGGGACATCTGGGCTGAGCTCTGGATGAAACCTGCCAGGTGGGAGGGCATGAGGACAGGATGAAAAAGCAAGCGCCGTGTGCAGGAAGGTCTTTTGGAGTCCACTGTTGGCGGCCACCACGACAAAGGGCATGCAGCAAAGTGACAGGAATGGGGATGTAGGGAGAATGGCGGAGGGGAAGTGGAGTGAGCTGAGGCCACGTAGGTGCTTTAGGAGTCTGCTCTCATTCCGTGTCTTTCTTACTTTCCTAACTGCTTTTGGAGGGACAAAGACCTCTGTGCCCAGAACCTCTTCAGTTCGAAGTTTCCTGGTCTGTTCTCGGTAGTCTCGAGCCCCTCCTTGGTCTAACGCTGCCTTCCCTGCCCCCAGGACAAGCAGGTGAACCAGTCTAGAGCCCGCTACTACCAGAATTCTCTCCAGCACCGGGTGAAGAATCGGATATGGCAGGTGCTGCTCACGCTGTTCCCCAGGTTTGACCAGGTACTGCTGGCTTCACACTGTCACTCACATGAGCATCTCTCAGAGTGACCCGGGAAACCTGAGTGGGCCCATCTGCTTAGAGGTCCACTTCCTGCGTGGACTAGAAGTTCCCAAGAGGCTCCAGCAGAGGCGTCCGTGAGCGGGTTCTTAGGGACCAGCCGGCAGTGGTTTGCATGACCTCACTTCAGGTTTTTCCTTCACCTTTCAAAGTAGCATTTTAATTGCTAACGTCTCCTCTGCCATTTGGTTGGAAATGGATGCCTTCCTTTCACAGCTCAGCATTGCTGGGGCATTTGAAGCCGGGCTTATGGCAACGGTGGTGGGGTTATTGTTTCCTGTGGGGTCTTCTCCCCTCAATCTCAGGGATAGTGGGGACACATTAAACCAGCTAAGTGGAGGCCAGGTTCTCCACCACAGTCTGTGTCCCCAGGTCGCTGCCCACTTCTCTGAGAAGCAGCCAGCTCTCGAGTGGACTGTAATCCCGTTTCTCTGTCTTTGCTTAATGTTCTTGTTAAGGGGATACTTGTCAGTATGAGAAAGTGGAGGTTACCTGTGGCCATTAAAACAAAACAATACATTCTGAATGCAAAACGATTCTCTTAGACTTTAAGGTTGGTTTCCTGATCTTCCCTGTCCTCTTTTCATTGTTTGGGGGAAAAAAAAATATGTATGTATGTATGTATGTGTGTCTATCTCAGTCTCTTTTTTATTAGAATTTTTTTTTTTTTTTTGAGCACTGGGAATTGAACCCATGGGCACTTTGCCACTCAGCCATATCCCAGCCCTTTTTTACTTATTTTTTGACATTGTTTTAGATATACATGACATAGAGCGTACTTTGACATATTACACATACTTGGAGCGTAACTTAAGCCCTTTCTCTCTTTTATTTTGAGACAGGGCCTCACTGAGGTCCTGCGTCTGGCCTTGAATCTGCAGTCCTTTTGCCTCAGTCTCCCAGTCCCTGGGATTATAGGCATGATCACCGAGCCCTTTTTGTATTATAATTTCATGAAGCCCTGCCTTCTGTCTGTTATTGTTTTAGTGACAGTATGTTGAGTTTATTGGATGAACTTTTGAGGACCCAGCTAGCAGTGGCCTCTGGGGGTGGCACAGATAGAAGTGGGTGGGAGCTGCTGACCTCATCGTAGGCCTTTTAGTAGCACTTGTCTTTCAAAGTTCTACTCTGTGCCCCACTTCCTGTAGCACAGAGTGCATCTAAAGGAGCGTCACAGCTTTACAGCCAACTGGGTGTTTCTTCTTGGAATGGCGAGGGCCCCCCAAAAGATGGCAATGGGGGACATGAGTAGGCAGGACCCGAGGAAGAGAGGGCTGGTATGTCCTGAGCAGCCATTGCCGGGAGTTCAAGGTCCAATCTGTGGTTTCATTACCCGTCACAACAGGCTTTCAAGGCAGGCCATAAGGATGCCTGAGGATGATCAGAAGTCAGGCGGCCTGCCCCAGGGATGTGGCCAGTGAACAGGAAGGGCCAGACCCAGGCGAGTCCCATTCCAGGGTCCATGCCTGATTCTGTGGCAGACTCAGGGCTTAACATGACTCTCCTGCTCCTCTACCAAGTAGAAGTCCTATTAAAATAAGGTCTTCTTCCGTCAAGAGATGTAAAATGTGTTATTTTTAACATGCTTATATAAACAGAGGATTGTTTCCCGCTGGCCCCTCAATGTACTGTGACTCAGACCCAAGAGCAGTCTTGGAGAGAGAGGCTGGGGAGTGTGGGAGGGTCTGGAGCTCAGGGTCTTGGCCCAGAACAGCGGCGATATGAGGCTGCCTCTGAACTGCCCCGGCCCACCAGGCCTGCCCCGTAATCGCATCTTTCCCCTGCCCTGGAACCTACAGGTGGAGGAGCCTGCCCCATAGAACTGATGTAGCCTGCAGGGTACTCAGACAAACATGGCATCACGGTGCTGCAGCGACACTCTGTAGGGTCTTTGTGTGGAGAGGTAGAGAGTCCATGAGTCACTTATGAATAACTAAGCCTTCTGTAAAGTGGGGACTTTGCTAAAAAATTGATAACATAGCCATTGATTTTGTGAACTTTATTTTTTCCTCAGAACTTCTTGAATGAGATTATTGACAAGATTTTCCAAGCTGGTTTTGCCAACAATCAAGCATCCATAAAATATTTTATAGAATGGATTATTATATTGATTCTCTATAAGTTCCCTCAGTTTCTTCCAAAGTTCTGGGATTGTTTTTCCTATGTAAGTAAATGTTTAATGTGTTAAACTTGGAAATGGTCTCAGTTGCTGTCTTTGGTGGTCTGACCCGGGGCGGCCCTGCCGTGTTGGTGTGGTAAATTGCTGGCCGGCTCTGAGTTAGTTGAGGAGACAGCAGTCCCTGGAGTCCACCCTGAGTGTGCCACGGTTTTTGTTTGAGTGCTGGTCTAATTCCAAAATGGCAAGGGTGGAAATGCTTGTTGCTAAAGAGTGAGGACATGGGTGCCGTGCAGTTGCAAGGTACCGGGCCATCTTTGTGTGCTGTTGGAGTAAAGCATGATGAGGAATGAAGTGTGTACCTCCGTAGGGACATTTTGCCTGTGACCACAGTAGGAAAGCAGGAGCCCGCTTGCGCCTCTCCTGCCCCTTCCTTCGCTACCCAGCGCTGCTTCTTTCTTGAAGCCACTCTTGGGAACCATGTTGGGGTGAGTGGTGGAGGCCCAGCGCTGGCCTCCTGGCCTCCTAATCTCCTAGCCTCCTGCCTCTCTGTGTCCTCCCATGTATATACCTGGGTTTTCTGCTGCGGCAACTCTCCGTAGCCTCCCAGTATAGACAGCAGCGTTTTGGTGTTTCTGGGTCATGTTGACTGGGTTGGTGCTAGGGCCTTGTGTGCCTGCAGGGACTTCCAGATGGCCTTTCTGCTCACATTTGTCACCCCAGCTGCAGAGAATGGCAGGGCCAGCCCTGGTGGCTGCAGAGCCTCCCTCCATGTCCCTCCTGGGGTAGCCTGACCTTGAGGATGCTGGCTGACAGGCAGTGTTCCATCAGTGTCTGGCCCCTGTGCTTGTAACACGGAGTCATGTGAGTGTCCTCCATGGAGAGGGGCCTGCAGAGGCGGCAGAATGGAGGCTGGGTCCCCTGGGGCCACCACGGAGCTGGACACTACTTGGGTCTCTAACGGTCTTGCTCAGGGCCAGTCCTGCATGTAGGCGGCTGCGCCTCCCTCCACTCCTCTTCTAGACTGTGCCCACCACTTCGATCTCGGGGAGTGTGGCTCCTAAAGGAAGGGTCTCCCCAGTACTCGGTCTCCTTGGTTTAGGTCTACGTGGCGCGTAAGCAGCACGTCCCGGCACTAGAACTTGGATTGTTCCACCAGAACAGGAACCTTGTCTGTGACGGTTTCCTAAGTTTTTAAACTACCCATCATTTCCTTAGATAGAGGAGTGGGTTCTCTGACACTCCACAGGGAAGGGCCCACCCTGGTCCTCCTGCCCAAGGTCACTTTTCTCTCCAGTCTGTCTGGCGTTCCTCAGTCCAGCAGCACTGAGATGGCATCTTAGCTCACATCACGGTTGTTAGGAGGTCCCCACTGGCCACTGCATCCTTTGTGGCCTTTCACCACAGCTCCAGTCTCCCACGGTGCAGTTCCAGCTCAGCTGGGGCCCTGCCTTGCCCATGCCTCGTCCTCGGCAGCCTCTGCCTTGCCTCGGCCTCCATGTCTCTGTCCCTCTAATTCCTTTCCCCTGGTCTTCTCCTTCCTGCTCCCAAGCCCTCTCCTCTCCAGGCCGCCCTTCCTACCCTGCAGGCTAGGTCTCCTCCACAGGGCGGGTCCTGGGCTTGGCCCCACCTCGGGGGTGTGCAGTATAGGCTTTGTGCCTCCCTTCCAAGGGCCGTGTGCACCAACCCTGACTCCAGGGAGCCCTGTCCTGTCTGGCTTTCCATCCTGTCCCTGCGTAGGCCATGCTGTCCTCCCCTGCAGAGTCCCCCATGGGCTGGTGCGTCCTGGCTCACAGGACGCTTGTGGCCATTTATCTAATTCTCTTTCAGGGTGAAGAAAAACTTAAAACAAGCATTTGTACATTTTTATCTGTTCTGTCACATTTGGACATTATCATTCAAAATATTCCAGAAAAGGTAAGTTCATATTATTTGTAAGAAGATTTTAAACTTTTTGAGTTTCAAAACAGGTGTTGTGTGTATTTGTACCAGTGTTGAAGTGTAAAATGTTTCTTCAAGTTTTGCAATTCTCCCTGTCCCTCCACTGGCTCGGTGTGCATGTAACACAGCAGCACAGTAAGACCTTAGCATTGACCTGCACACTGAGTAGACACCACATCTGTAGTCACATTAGTGGTGATTCTGTTGATGTGGATGTTTTTGCTTTTATGCAAGTGTGAGGGTTTTTTGTATGTTTGGGTACCAGGAATTGCACTCAGGGACACTCAACTACTGAGCCCCATCCCCAGCCCTACTTTGTGTTTTATTTAGAGACAGGGTCTCACTGAGCTGCTTAGTGCCTTGCCGTTGCTGAGGCTGGCTTTGAACTGGCTGGGATGACAGGAGTGTGCTCACACCTGGCAGCGTGAGGGTTCTTTAACAGGCCTCCCTTGCTGCTTTCCTTGACTGAGCGGGGGTGTTTGACAAGGCCTTCTGCAGGGGAACTCCTTGTGGGGGGGGAGGCGGTGGCCGGGGAGGACCCTTCCCAGGAGAAGATTGTGAATAAGGCACCAAAGAGGACAGTGAGCCAATGGCCAGGGCCCAGGGGACCTGCCAGGCCCAGGGAGCAACAGGTGTGGGCCCTGAGGTCAGGGAGGCCCTGCGTGGGCGTGTTGCTCTGGGACGTCTGCCTTACCTGTGCCACTTCTGTGAGGGTGGGGGGACCCCCATTGAGCTGTGCACCCAGCAGTGCTGTCCGTGCACCTCGCAGGGGGTTCATGGTGCTACCCAGGTTAGGTGTCGCTGTGTATGCCGGGTGCCCCTGAGCAGGACAGGCATGGTAGCTGGCACTCTGCGCTCCCTTTTTGCCTTCTCGATTGCCAAGTGGCATCCAGCGTGGGTTCATTTGCCGGCTTTCTCCCTCTGAAGTGGGTGGCCCAGTCCTGCAGCCTGCTCTGGCTTCGCGGCTCCCACATGCCCCGGGCCTGTGCTGCTCTTCCTTTTAGCCTGGGGACCTGCTCTCTGCACGTTGTTCTGTTACTCTGTTTTCTGAGCACTGAGCTCTAGTGTGCCCTCAGTGACCTCCTACCTCCTCCTGAGTTTTGCCCCACCCCTGCTGTGGTGACACAGCACTCATTACACCCACTGCTCATGTGGGGACCCTGTGTAGGAGGTGTGGCCATGCATGTGTCTCTGAAGTGCAGCGCTGGCAACACTTGAGAAAGGCTCAGCCCTGCTCGGGAGCTGCGGGCCGGGGCGTGGTCCTGGACTGACCATGCACCTGGTGCCTCTGGCTATGCCTCAGTAGTAGAAGCTCCCCAGGGTCTCAGCCGGGTGCACCTGGTGAGTGTGTCTAGGTGGCTTGGGGGGTACGTGGTGGGAGCATCCAGGCAGCTTCTGGTGCGTCAAAAGTTGGGGTCTGCTTCCACATTAAGGTAGCTTGCTCCCCATGGCTGTTAGCGTCTACTAGTAGAACCAGGTGATTCAGAATTCAGTGTGGTGTTGTGCTCAGTTCCCAGGCTGTGAGGTCAGAATTCACAGGGAGAGACCACAGGGCACTTGACACCATTTCGTTGTTCTCATGTCTTTTTAACTTTACAGACATGCCTGCCGTGTGGTTTAGGTCACCTTCAGAGAACACATAGTTCAGAAGCCAGGGCAGGGAGAGCAGCATTATGTGGGGTCTCACTTAGGAGCACATCAGTCACTAAGGCGGCTCCTGCAGGAGCTGCTGATGTCCTCAGCCCAGCTTAGCTACAGCACTGTGGTTCTGTCAGGTTGGCGTAGGAGCTCTGGGGTAGGGGACATGCCGCAGTGGTGACAACAGGCAGCCCTGAGCGCCTGCTTTCCTGGGGAGGCTTGATGGGTGAGCGGATGTGTCCAGGAGGGCACTGAGCAGACACTCCAGGGGCGCAGGGACGGTTTACCCATGTGTCTACCTTCCCCTCTCAGTTGGGGTCGAGCTGCCTGCCTGTGCACCTCTCATGGAGTCTCCCTTTCTTTCCAGAGGCAGGTGCTGAAGCAGGCCCTCCTCGTCGCTCTCCAGTGGGGTCTCAGCCACAACTTCAGCATCCGGCTGTACGCTCTGGTGGCTCTGAAGAAGGTCTGGGCAGTGTGCAAAGCCCTCTACATGGAGGAGTGTGATGCGTGGACGGCTCTCATTGAGTGTAGTCTTAGCCAGGCGGAAAGCGTGCACGGCACAGGGTAAGGACAGCTGCTCACTGCTTCACCACAGCCAGGGGAGGCAGAGGAGGCCTGGCCTGGCCCCCGCTCCTTGGATCACATTCAGCCATAGGCCCAGGAGCTGGGCCAGGTGGAGCTGCAGCGGGACCTTGGTTTGCACACCATTAGGGCCTCTGGCTCCCCATGCGCAGACTCTGCCCTCTGTCCCGCCAGTTCCACCTGTTCTGGCTCCTCTAAGGTCTCCTCCACGCCAAGGGCTCATCCAGGAGCCAGGACAACAGGCACGGCGCTGGGGTTGGGGCCTGTGGCTTAGCAAGCCCCAAGTGGTGAGACACACACCTCACTCTGGTCCCACTCCCACCCTGGACACTGCCCAGCCCGAACCTCCTGAGCATGTGTCCTTGTCCCTGAGTCGTCTTCTCAGTAACACTGGGATATCAGTGTTTCTTCCAACAGCACCTAACCTTCCATCGCATGGCAGTGCCGTGATGTATCCCCGAGTCCCCTCTGAAGGAAACTGTACTGAGATTCTGTTTTAATCCTGGACCTGATTTGAATAGTTGGCTGGCCAGCCAGCGCAGAGCAGAGGGAAGGAGGCAACGTCAAGGTCCTGGGCAGAGACTGGAGAGCCCTGGGAGGAGGCAGTGGGAGGAGGGGCCCTCCTCCTGGTCTGCCTCTGCTGCAGTGCTGGGGAGCGGAGGAGGCACCTGGCCAGGCAGGCAAGGCCTGCCAGCAAGAGGTCCCAGAATTGCCATGGGTTCTGGTGCTGATGACCTTGACTTTAAACTGAGTCTGTGGTGTTCTTTTTACCTCTACTTTTGCCTTTTAAAACCTGACCGATGGGCTGCTATGTAAGCCCTGCTCATGTTCCGTGTGTCTGGTGTGAGAAAGGCAGTGCAGGTGGACAGTGGATGGGTCTGAGGAGTAGAAGCGACTGTGGAATGGCTGCTTCTCCCAGAGAAAAGGGTCCCCCCAAGAGGGCTCCTGTCCTTGGGCAGTGGTAGAGGTCCTTTGCCCACCTTGCTTGAGACCACCCAAGGCTTCTTGCCCCCTTCCTGTTTTGCTAGCTACTGGCTGCTCGTAAGGCTGAGGGACCTGCTTCTCTTCTGTTCAACCCCCAGTTCTAGGGTGACTGAAGGTCACTTAATTGCTATTTGTTTTTGAGTTCCATTTTAAAATGTGAGATTTTATGGCCTGGCCGGGCTCAGTGTTGAGGGCTTGCCTAGCATGCAGAGGCCCTGGGTCCATCCCCAAACAAGGCCAAAAAAAAGGGGGGGGTGGGATTGTGAAGTAGGTTGGTCCCAGAGATGCCAGCTGCAGTATAAGCCTGGACGACAGTCACAGTCCTAGCTCCCACGCACAGTGCGTCCCCTTCAGAGCCGTCTGTTCCCTCACTGCGCCTCATGCCTTGCTCCCTGCCCTAGGAATGCCAAGAAGAACTGGCAGCGCATCCAGGACCACTTCTTCTTCGCCACGTTTCACCCCCTAGAGGATTACTGTCTGGAGGTGAGCAGAGAAAGCCACCTGTAGGGGCCTACTATGACTTCAGCCTGATGCCACCTGTGGAGCCTTTGCAAGCCGGAGACCAGGCCAGTTGTCCTCCCAGTCACCTCAGCCTCCTGACTCCTGAGTAGGGTTCTGTTACCTTAGGCAGTAGGCTTGCTTGCAGAGCCCCTCAGCAGTGGGATGGGCCTGTCTAGCTTGTAAGCCCTGGAAGGGAAACTCTTAACTCTAAACAGAAATCAGAGCAGATTCCTAAAAGGCAATGAGTAAGAGCAGGTGCAGGTGGGATTTTATTGAACAGAAGCCCCTGGTTATAAACGAAAAGATCTATTCTTTCATTCATGGCATGTTAGGTTTGGGTAATTAAAATTGTAGAGCAAATGATGTACCCCCTCACTGGTTGTAATAGAAAGTGCTTATATAGTTTTAAGAACTGTTGAGAGCCACAGCCGAAGGGGCCCCAGCAAACTTCCAGCTGCCGGCTGATGATTGGCTCCAGCAACACCTAGCTGATTGGCTCCTGCGGTGATGCTCATTGGGCTGTTTCCCTGCCCTTTCAGACCACGGAGCTGCTCATTGGGGGACTTTTTTGGCTCCGCCCACGTGACCCAGCCAATCGGCCTCAAGAGCAGGAGGATTGGGGGAGGTGGAGAGAAGCTTGTGTTGGAGAGAGAGGCTTGTGGCAAGCCGGTGGTGGCAGTTGAGGCTCTGAGGGTATTTCCTGAGAGGCTGTTTTGTTTGGCGTGTGTGGTTCTAAAAATAAAGTTAGTTTCTTTTGACAAGTGGCTCCTGATTGTGCCCAGCCAGACTGCAGCAAAGAACCACGAGCCTGTTTATTACAGTTAATATAATTAATTCACTGTGTAATTCATTAAGTTTGAGCAAAGCATAGTACCTTCTCCCTCCCGCAGCTCTAGTTATAACATGCTGTCTGGGGTTCTAGTCCTTGGACCTAGGCTTCTCCCTGGGAGGTCTGGTCACATCAGTAGTTTCAGCCATTGCGCATGCCAGTGATCCTTGGATTACTCATGGACTGGCCTTTAAACACTGAGCTGTATCTTGAGAGCTACGTTATTCCTGTGCCTCCTCTGGGGCTTCACTCTCAGTACTGTTAGGACTGTTCCTGTGTCCCACATGCTCTGTTCTTGCATCCCTTGGTGCCCGGAGGGGCTGCCTGAGGCCTCCTGCAAGACCCTTTGGCCTCTCTGGCCTTGTCAGCCTCTCTGTCAGGTCCCTAGCAGGAGTGGTGCATCTGTGGTCTCCCTCCATCCCTTGGCCCCTCCCTCCTGCTGCCACACAGGTCATGACTATATGTGACCTGACAAACAGTCTGGTCTGTGTGGAGTGGGCCTCGGTACCCACCGGGTACACACTCAGTTGTGGTCTGGATGCCAGTTAAGTCTGTACAGCTGTGGTGGCACCAGAAAAACATGCTGATGCTAAAAACTTTCCTGGGGACAGGAGCGCTGTCCCAAGGCAGTGTTTTGCTTGAGCTGCACAGCACCTGTACCTTGGCCCCTCGACACCTCCCTATGGTGAGCACCCCTGTGCTGGGTTTTCTTTCAAAAGGTCAGTCGCTCAGGTGCGACTGTACACAGCAGCCCCTATGCAGGTCCCGGAGCCCTTTCACGTGCTGCTGGAATCTGTGTCCTCACTTTATGGGGATCTGAGACAGAAGGCTCCGACTTGCCTAATGCCACACAGCTGAGGACGTGGGGAGTCAGAATCCAGGTTCTGAGTGTCACTTGGTAATGAGAGCTCCGACCAGAGGGCTTGGGAGAGTACATTAGTAACAATAGAGTGCTGCTGCTGACATGTCATGTTTCTTTGTTATTTTTACAATTCTGTTTCCAGACCATCTTTTATACCCTCCCACGGCTCTCGGGTGTCATTGAAGAGGAGTGGATCACCCTTGGCAGATTTTCCAGCTTCACAGATATCCCTTCAGGTTCAGGGCCCCTGTGGTGCTTTTCTCGGACTCTGCTCTGTGAGCTAAATCCTGGGGACTGGTCCCAGCAGGACGCAGGTAGAGAGCTGCTTCTCCTTATTTCCCTGTTTGCACATGAGCTCACTGGTTTTGTTACCTAGAGCAGGGGTGGGTGATGCCTCTTGTCTGCCTACCTTGGCGCAACAGTGGAAGTTTGGGAGTGTGTGTGGCCTTGACCTAGACCTCCAGGGGAGAGGTAGCTTGGTGCAGCACCAACAGAGCCAGGAGCTTCCCTGTTCTCTTGAACAGGTGGTTGATTAATAGTCATTGCTCTGTATCTGTAAAAATCAGGTTTCTAGAAGGGCCGAACTATGGATCTCCTCTGCCCCTTCCAGGAGTAGAGCGTCTGTGTTGTGGTCTTCCTCGTCTCTGAGGTCTCTGGCCTGGTCATCATGTTCGGTCCTCTCCCCGTTCGCTTTGCCAATGGCCACTTCTGAAAGCTCCCCTCTGAGCTTGCAGTCCTCCGTCTCTTGGCCTGAGCTGACTGGACCTCTGCAGCCTGCTGTTCCTCAAGCTCTTTAAACTCAGCACATCCAGACTGGACTCCACTTTCTGTCCACCTCACCTCCTCTCTGTGCCCTCTATTAATGGTCACTCCGTCATTCTTTTCCTGGTCTCCTCTTGCCACATCCACCCACCACCCAGCTTTGGTGGTGGGTCTTCTCCCTCCCTCCAGCCCCCTGTGGTGAGGACTTTCTGACCTCACTGTCTCCACCGTGGCCAGTGCACGAGCCTTGTATCCATTCTCAGCCCAGTGCTTCCCAACATCACTCCCAAGAGGGATTTCTCTAACCAAACAACATCACTGCCATTATCCCCCATCTTCAAATGCCCCAGGGGCTCCTCTGTATAGAATAAATCCTTTACCTCAGACCCGCAGAGCCTGTGGTCTGGTGCAGGCTAAGCTAAACCATAGTACTTACTGATGCCCAGGTCACTTTCCTTCCGCATTCGCGCATGCACACAGCTCTGTCTCCCCTGTAAGCTGTGACTTCCCTCTCTGGGCCCTCGGGTCTGACTCCTGCCACACAGGCTACGCATCCCTCCTGTGTGAGCATGCCCCAGCAAACGGACTGTTCATTGGCTGGTGGTCCATTTGGGGGACAAAGGAAGAGTTCCAGCAGTACACTCAGTCCCTCTCAAGCAGACCCTGCAGTTAGATAGGTTAATGACATCTGGTACCCAGCAGTTGAGTCAAGGGGTGATTCTTTTATGGTACAGCCTTCATTTTAGGAAGTTACCCCAGGTACTTCTAGTGAAATTTAAGGAAAAAAAATTCATTTATTATTCTTTTTAGGAACATATTTCCATAAAAATTCTAATTTGATATTATATTGTTTGTAAAATATGCCCTTATTTACCTCTAAGAAAAAAATGTTAAAGAACTATGATTCTAAGTTGCTTCCCGATTTTGTAATTGTGAAAATGTGAACCATAGTATATCTTCTGTTTTTATGAAATGTCATAGTATATTGATTAGTAGAGCTGAATTTGAAATCCCAAGAATTACTACTGAAAATGGTGACATGTTTGGATCTAAGCAGTTTCTCAGTCAGTCAGTGAACAGGTCGGTCTCAGTGGGTGCTCCTCGATACACACAGACGCTGGGCCTGACTCGTGGACCCTGGTGTCCTCTCTCCTCCCAGGCACTGGCTCGGGGGAAGCAGACGGCCCTTCTGAGCAGGCTGACGTGCAGAAGAAAATCATCCCATGGGGACACGACCTCCTCGACGCAGACCTGGAGCTTGCGCTCCAGGACCGTGCCGCCAAACTTGGAAAGTCCATCAGCAGACTGATTGTAGTGGCCTCGCTCATTGATAAACCAACTAATTTAGGAGGTAAACCATGGTTTTCCAGGTAGTTTGCTTGAAATCTCTGGACCTGGACTCTGGTCCCCTGCCATTTTGGTTGTGTCCTCCACATTTAGCCCTCTGAGAATTTCCAGGGAAGCAGTGGGACCTGATGAGTGTGGCATGATGCTGGGGACAGTCTGGATGACGCAGGTTTTCTATACAGGGCTGTGCCGGACCTGTGAGGTGTTCGGGGCCTCAGTGCTGGTGGTCAGCAATCTTCATTGTGTCCATGACAAGCAGTTTCAGCACCTCAGTGTCTCAGCTGAACAGTGGCTTCCTCTGGTGGAGGTGGGTGGAAAGTAATCTGTTATTGAACTTTTATTGGGGAAGTGTGCAGTGTTTTGTCTTTATGTGTTAGGCAGGCCTTCTGCAGGAATCCAGCCTTTCATAGATTAAAAACAATACTTGAAAGTATACTCTGTTCTCCGTATTTCAGTTTATTATTTTTAGAAATCATCAATAATGTGATATTATTTTCAGTAAAATGTGTCCTGATATAGCTCACTTTTGATTTCGAAATGATTCTTATAAAATTGTGAGTTGGGAGGGGTATTTTTTTTAATAATATATAGTTGTGATTTTTTTTCCTTAAAAAATACTTTTTAACAAGTTTAAGAGGTTTTTTTTGTTAACTTTAATTTTACTACACACAGGGCTGTAACTGATTTATTTTCTGCTCTTTATAAACTGATATCAAGGTGAAGCCGCATCAGCTCCCTGGTTATCTGCAACAGAAAAGGGCAGCAGGTTACACGGTCATTGGAGTGGAGCAGACTGCCCACAGCTCGGACTTGGTCCAGTTCTGCTTCCCTGAGAAGTCGCTGCTCCTGTTGGGGTGAGTGGCATCCCTGCACCCTTGGAACGTGTTTCTCATCTGGTGGTTTTCCTGGCCCTGCGGTTATGCCCGAGCTTTGCCTCTGGCCTGGAATGTTGATGGAAACCCCCTAGTTTTCCTTTTATTTCACCTGTCCAGGAGGGTCAGGTGGACACAGAATTGACCTGTAGATCTTTGTTAGTCTTATTTATTTCCTAAAACCACACTTCCTTCATCTGTCTGTCTGATGTGGTAACAGTCAGAATACCCAGGGAAAAAATTGTTATTGTCGGAAAACTCACATCTCTTTTGCATTTTCCTCCCTCAGCAATGAACGTGAAGGCATTCCTGCCAACCTGCTGCGGCAGCTGGATGTGTGTGTGGAGATTCCCCAGCAGGGCGTCATCCGCTCACTGAATGTGCACGTGAGTGGGGCCCTGCTGATCTGGGAGTACACCAGGCAGCAGCTGCTCAGGCGTGCAGGAGCCCCATCGTGAAGCCTGTGCCTTACCTCAGTGGTCACAGTGCCTCCTGACTGCTTTTTAAACTATTTGGGAATAGATTCTGACATTTATTGGGATATGAATTTTTTTGTTCTTGCAATTTAATGCCAAAAACTTTTTCATGTGCCTTAAATATATCATTATATATTTTCTTCTTTGATAAATCTTTATATAGATACATGATTTTGCTTATTAATAAAATATTTTACATAATTATGAAAATAAAACTTTTTTTTTTAAAGTCCTTCCTAGAAGTTAGTATCATCAGGTATACAAAGTTCACTGAAAGTAAGGCAGAATTGAACAGCCCACACCTGCAAGCACTGGTACCCTGAGGTCGTGGGGATGCAGCAGGAAACCAAGGCCAAGGCACTGGAGGAAGGTGCTCTGCCCTCCCTCCCTTGTTTGGCAAGATGCTGAGCCAACTTCCCTATAAAGTTCAGGCTTTATTTTTCAAACCATGAAGTAGGTCGTAATCGTTCATATTAAGTTCTTAGGAAATTTCTCAAATGCATCTTTGTTCAGAGAGATGAAGTAATGGTTAGAAATAGTCTGTACTGAGAAAAATTCAAACGTGAACCCAAAGAACTCAAGTGACTCCTCCAAATCGCTACTGAACCGGAGAATGAAGTTCATGAGTGTTAGTTGCTTTGATTTTTTTTTTTTTAATTTGGTATTATCACCATCCAGCAATGACCTTCAATTGTATCTGGGTCTTTTAGTAACAGATTTCATAGTTCATACCTCTTTATTTACTTTTTCTTCTGTAATTCTGAAACTAACTTTCATTTTGCAGAAGGACTGCAAAAATAGCACAAAGTTTCCTTCCACCTGCTTCACTGTGATGCCTCTTAAAACAGTGCATTCATCTGAATTAGGAAGTTGGTGTTGATCGAGGTGCTCTTCACCAAGTTGCAGACTTGATTACAGTTTCCTGTTTTCCACTACTGCCTTTTTCCTGTCCCTGGAGCCAATCCAGTTTTGGATACACATTGCATTTAGTGTTATTTTGAAGAGTGCTGGTCCAGTGTTTTGTAAACGTCCCAGGATTTGGGTTTGTCTGGCATGTTCTCGGAGGTTACAGGTTCTAAGAGCAGGTGAAGGGGCCTCTTCTGCAGTGAGGTTAGACAGACATGGTGGCAGCGGGGCTCAAGCCTCCATCATTTACATCTGGTGAAGACCTCTTCTACCACATTTTTCTCTAAATTTGCTCTCTCCCTTTCCATGCCTTTGTCAAAAGCAAGTCACTCGCTGTGGAGGGAGAGCACTGGAGCCTGGGGCTCTTGTCAAGACGTCCTAGGGCAAACTTAGCTTTGCAGATGCGCTGTCTTGTTTGGTCCACTGATGTTTGTGTTCAGGATGGACACTGCCTGAAGCAGTTACTGCTGTGGCCTGTGTATTGCTGGTACTCTATTCACCTGTTGGAATTCCTCATTAAAGAGAACTTTTTTCTATCAGTGTGGACATATACTGTGTCCTCCAGCAGGCTCCTGAGACCTTGTTCTTACTGCCGCCTTACTCTTTGGCACTGCATGATACTCCAGGTCGGTTTCATCTCTCTCCTGGGTGGAGTGGGACATCTCTAAGAACCCTGGCTCCATTCACTGGAGAACAGTGTTAGAAATCCAGACCTGGGCATGAGTAAAGCTGCTTTAAGCAAACATACCTATGTAATTTGCAGTTCATTTGGTGAAAGACCTAGGAGTGGGGCTGCTGGATCGTGGGTCACTGTCACTCTTAACTGCTCTCCAGAGGGGCTTTCCTAGGTCCCACTCCCACTGCAGGGAATGAGTAACTGCTGCACCTTCCTGTCAGCATGAGAAATTGTCAACTTAAGAGTCATTCTAAGAGATGTGTGATGATGTACCATTGGGGTACTAATTTCCATTATTCTAATATTTAATAATAGAGTACTTTTCATGTTTCTTCCCATTGTATATCATCTTTCAGTATCTATTTGCATAATTTGCCCACTTTTTTTTTTTTTTTTTTTGGCACCAGGGATTGAACCTAGGGGTGCTTAAGTCCTTCATGAACTATGCTATCTGCAAATATTGTCTCTAAGTTGTATTATACCTTTTCATTTTTTTCCATTCTTTAGTGTTTTTCAATTATATCAGCTGTGAATAGAACCAGCTTTACTTCTTCCTTCCTGATCTATGTCTTTGATTTCCTTTTTTGCCTCACTTAACTAGCTAAAAATATAGTAATTCTCTCAAAATCTAGTATGATATTAGCTGCAGGTTTTCTAATAGATGGCTCTTACATTTTACCTGTGTGTTCTGAGTTCAACCTTTTCCAACCTCAAGCTGTAATGCCTTATTAAAGTTTTGATTCCCAGGAATATACAGTGACAGCTTCTATCTATAATATCCATTGTAAATATTTCCCCACTACTCATCATCTATTCCAAAAGAAAAGATCAATGTGTTTTTATAATTGGTTTTAATAGTTTCTTAAAATAAATTTTTACTAAATTAGAACTAGGCATATTTAAACCACTGTACTTCAAGTCTTCATAGTGGAAACATGGATCTTCTGTTACTTGTCCAATTTTGTCATGAAGTACTATACACAGGACTGATGTATGCCATGTCAAACTATTACTGTCACAGAATCAACACAGCACTTTTTAATGTCCAGAAAGAATAATTTCAACCTTTATGAAAAGTTCAGGAAGTACCTAGGAATTTGTAGTTGATTCAGAAGGCTGGAACTGTCCCGCTTCAAATTTTTCCTTGAATTTTAAGTAGTCTCTTCTTTTATCAAAATATTTTATCTGTTGAGATGAAAAAGGCTGGACTTAGGGCAAGTTATGCAGCTTAGATAAGCAAAAGCAGACTTAAGTGCAACAAATTATTCATTATGAATCTGTACAGAAACAGCAAAGGGATTTGTATTCTGGAACCAGTCAGTGATCTGGGGAGTGAGCCCCTGAGAAGTGGGATGACAGGTGAATTAGGCCCTTCAGGGGCTTGAGGCCCTGCTCTCTGGCTAGCCCAGGAACCTTCTACAGGACTATATACCTGAGAGTCTGCCAGCAGTCTGAGTCCACAAGAGCTCTGGCTTGAGCCAGGAGTCTTCAGATTTGAAATGCTGGGTGGTTCTAAGTTTAATGTTTATCACCCACAAATGACTCATCCAGAAACAAACCCTTGAGACAGACATATGAAAATTACATTTATGAACTATGAGTAGTTAAATTGAGGGTAAAAGTTAAGTGTATTGACGATTTGGTTTTGTTTTCCTCTTTTCATAGTGAATTTGAAGAATATCTTGACATGGCAAAATCCTAGAAGTAGAAAATGGAGGCCAAGGAAGCACATGTGGCTGCCATAAAACTGCCACAGTGTCTGAGCTGCTGCCAGGCAAGGCAGGGGCAGAGGACCACCTGTGTGCACCGTGAGGCCGACCAGACAGCACTAGCACTAGTTCTTTTGTTAAAAGCCTTTCTTAGGATCTAGTTCAAAATATTTCAGTGGAGTTTGAGAGCAGATATTAGAGTGGGCTGAGTTGAGGAAATCTACTCTGCCTGGTGTCAAGCCACGGGTAGAACCGAAAAGCAGCTGCCAAGGAAGGGCTGCAGCCACCAGCATCCAGAAGGATTTGAGTCTTAAGCCACAATCCTAGCCCCTTGACATTCAGTCTTCATCAAGTCCACTTCTCAGTCCAGAGATGAAGAGGGTCTGTTCATACACAATCTCTGCTTTGCTCGACACCATCAAAAGTGCTTCATTTAAAACTTACCCAAGTTTGAACTTTCCCCTAAACTCTTCAGTAACTCTTTCCCCGTTTGGTGAGATGCATCTGTTCTTTGATGTGTGTCTCCCTTGCTATAACATGTCCATATGCTGTGGCACTAGAGACTTATCCCTGGTAGTCTAGAGTAGCTGTTACAGAAAGGATACCAAATGAAGGTGATCATGTCCTTCATATTTTTGTGGCAAATTAAGAGCATGGAGTCTTGGGTCCTATCTTCAAACATACAACTCTACTTAGAGGTCCTACTGTCCTGTCAGCCCCAAGAGGCCAGAACTTACCCCCTCTCCAATACATTTATCACTGCCCCTGTACAGAGCAGGTCCTCATAATTTTTCACCTGGATTGCTGTGACATCTAAGACATGAGGCAGATTCTGGGATTGGGAGACTTACCTGCAAGTCCCCTGTCTGCTCAACTGCTGGGCTAATCTGAGACTTATTTCCTATTGTGTTCCTCTAGACACAACAGGGCTTCCCCCCAAATAGAAGGAAAATTACAGTGGAAGGCAGGAGGTGTCTCTGGAAGAAGGCACTCTGAAGCACCCTTGTTCTCCTGGCCCTCTCCCATGCCTCTTTGGAAAAACCTTTCAGCTTTTATTTTGTGGCAGCTGGGCAGGAGCTCAACAAGATGACACCAAGAAGAGAGCAAAGGGGAACATGCGGCAAGGGCGGACACGCAAGGGGCAGGCTAACTCAGCCTGGGCTCAAGATCATGGAGCAGAGCAGGGATGCTGACAGCGTGCAGGGGAGCGCTTGCTGCAAGGCTGCAGAGCCACCGCGGCACTGCTGGGAGGGGCACTGACAGCAGGTCTAGCAATGCTAGACCCACAGAGGCTTCGGGGCGCTCTACAAGCTCACTACCGTCCCCCGCGCGAGGGAGCTCCGGGGCGGTCTGCACGCTCTTGTCAGGCCCCAGAACACGTGTAGCTCCGGGGCGGTCTACACGCTCACGTCGGGCCCCACCCAGCAGTAGCTCCCGGGGTGTTTGCACGCACTCGTCGCGCCCCAGCCCAGGTGTCAGGATGCCGTGACCTTCGCGCCGCCGACTCACCCACTGCTGGGGGCAGCTGGCCTCGAAGGAGCTGCGGAGGCGCCGGCAGTGGGCTGCGTCCTCGGCGTGGGCGTCCAGGCACCGCCAGTACTCGTCGCGCGCGCCCCAGCAAGCCTGCCGCTCCTTCCTGGAGGGGGCCGCCATGCCGAGCTGCCGGGCCCTCGCAAGCGCAGCCGGGAAGCGCGAGCGCTACGCCCGGGAATTGCCGCCGCCGGCTCGGCTCGACTACCCCGCTACCCGCAGCTTAGGGCGGAACGGCCGGGGTTAGAAGGGCACTTCCGGTTCGCCGTCGCCGAGCGCGGGGGCGGGACTTCCGAACCCTTCCTTGAGGAGACTTCCGGCCTGCGAGGGCGCGGCGAGCGGGCTTACGCGGCTCTTCACCCGGTGGCTGGCTGTGTCCT